TAGCTTGTAGGGCGCGAGAACCTCATCTGCTCGCGCGAGGGAAAGGGAAAGGGAAAGGGAGAGGGAGAGAGAGAGGGAGAGGGAGAGGGAGAGGGAGAGGGAGAGGGAGAGGGAGAGGGAGCGGGAGAGGGAGAGGGAGCGGGAGAGGGAGCGGGAGCGAAGTGAAAGAAGTAATGGAATTCAAGCTATGGCTAGTAGGTCGTTTTATGGCGGAGAACCTAGGCAGGTTGGGCACCAGCCTCAAACCTCAACTTCTCATCTCTCGTACCCTATGACAATTACCTCGAGAATGCCGTCCAATGGTCCACAAAACCATGTGGAGATGTCCGGGGCGCCTTTGTCTATGTCGGGTATGCCCAATTCTGCCGCAATTTCTCTTCCCCAAACGTCAACTGCTGGGGCCGGAGGTCTTGGCCCTACCCCAGCTCCATTACCTACAGCTACTGCTACCGGGAGGGGGGATTTTGGGTCATTCACGGGATACACTACTCCTATGCCCCCCAGTCCATTTGCGATGCCTGCTAGCCTGCCAACCGTTCTTCCGCCTGTGGGAGACGGAACCCGCGACTCAAGGCGCCAAAATCTGCAGAATGGAAGGGATGAACCCACGAGGGCAGAGGATGCCTTACGGGGGGGGTTGAGCAGGGCTTTATCTAGTGGGTTGTCAAGTATAGTAGGAGAGGAAGAAAGGAGAAGGCGTGTGGAAAAGGAAAGGGATGGGAATGCTCGGGTGAGCGGCCCCAACGCCGGGAATCAAAGCCCCAATAAGCGGCTGAGCTCAGGCTTTAGTATTGGCATGGGCATGCCGAATATGGCCAAGAGTTGGGATGATTCCATCCAGAAGGCTTTCCCTGAGGCCAATAGGGAAGGTGGGAAACCTTCCAATGCATTGGGCAAAAGGGAAAGGGACGAGGAAGAAGCTGGGAAACTGGAAAAGAAGAAAAAGCACCACCATCACCATTCGCTGCAGTATGTATCCGCTCATGTTTATTATTCTACATCGTAAGGCTAACGGGGAAGGAAACATAGCGCTGTCCATCACCATCGTCATCATCATAAGGTTGACGATGAGCCAGCAGGGTCAGGCCTCGAGATCCCGTTGGCAAGGGCTGGAGCGCGATCCAAGTCACCCAACAGTATGGCCATGGCTCATCCGCATCATGTTCATCAAGTGACTGTCCACCATCACCATCCTGCTGCTGTTTCACCGGCCCCTCCCCCGCAAAGGGTCAAGACAAGTCTACTCATAGATTCATCTAAGGTATTGGCTAGCCTGGCTTCGAAACCAAGGCAGTATCTCGGCTCAACGATATATCAACCCACACCGACCCCCAAACAAGGATTGTCGGTAACGCAGCCATTGCTGCCGCGATTCGAAGGCAGAGAGAATTGCATCTTTCAGGTTCGAATTCCACGTAGGTTCCTCAGTGCGGAGCAGAGGAGAGATGTGCACAGACGTAGATGTGTGTGGGGTACGGAGGTCTATACGGACGATTCCGATGTTCTGGGGGTATTGGTACATCTTGGAAAGGTTCCCGGAGTGCTTCCGGAGGGGGCCACCCCAGATCTTGTAGCAGAGACCGGGTGCAGGAAGACTACCAGTCGGGGAGACATCACAAACATGCTTTCAACAATCCCATCGCCGGTCAGGAAGAAGGGCAAAGGGGCGCATGCAGCGGATGAAGGGCCAACCATCCAACCGGGGAAGGATCTTATTGTGAACCTTCTCATCCTACCGACGCTGCAGAAGTATACCGGGTCCGTGCGAAACGCGTTAAAGTCCCGCAGCTGGAACACTATCCATGACGGCATGAGCTACTCGATTTGGGATATGGAGTGGGTGGAGGCAGGCGAGGCCGAAGCCAGAGGCGGTGGCAGCAGAAAGCGCCGGCTTGACGAGAGAGAGTGGGTGAGAAGATGGGGTGAACTCCCACCCAGCAGAGGTGGAGGTGGCGTAGGAAAGGTGGGGTGGAACAAGGGGAGGTGGTCGGAGAGCAAGACGGGGATGAGAAAAGGCAATGTTACAGAGGTAGGAGCTTGATTTTGTTTTTCACTAGGATTTGCTTTCTTGCTTCGTTTGACAAGGAAGAGACGGCGCCGAACGGAAAAGTTTGACTTTTTTTTCTTCTTCTCAACCCCTCCCCCCCTTCCCCTGATCGCGAAACAATAAATTGCCTATCCAATTTTTACCATAGTTTTTTACCTTCTTTTTTCCTCTTTTCTCCTTACTATTCTATTTCTATGGATTTCCTTGAGCCGTTTGGGAGGATAGCTTTCGCTCTACGATCATCTGCTCTACTTTGCGACTGTGCGATACGATTGATTCATTTTTCCATATCTATATCGGTGGGCGGTGTTTTTATAGTATCGTAACCAGTACTTCCTTTCTTCCTTCCTTTCTTGCCATCTTCATTCTTGTGATATTCATTCATTCATTCATTCATCATTATCATCATAGTTTAAGTCCCAGTAAAACATAAGTTACTATTACTTCCCTGACAATGCATCCCATGCGAGCAGAGCATCCCCCCTGCCGAGGGATAGATTACCGGTATCTAGCGTTCTCCCCTTGCCTCCCACCATCTTCAGCAACATCATCATGGTGGGGACCACAGTTCTCGCGCGGTCGAGTGGAGCATGATATGTACAGTACCGTTTTCTCCACTCCGTCGCATACTCTACTCGAGTACAAGTATGATACTTCATACGTCCACGGTAAAACCTATCATGCCCACCACCATCACCGACCCCAACCCACCCATGTACCGGTATGCACCTTGTAAGACAGATGAGCACGGCAAATACCCTAGGCCCAATCAAAAGCCCAGCCCTGCACCCACCATCAGATCGAGGACGCCAAACCGGGGCTGACCCGACCGGAACACGCGACAGCCCAAAAAAAAGGGCGCCAAGACACCCTTCTCGCTTCCTTACCTTTCCCAATCTGGATAGGGAATGAGACATGTCAAAGCTTTTTTTTCTTTCGTTCTTGTTTTTCTTTTCTTTTCTTTTCTTTGTTTTTTTCTTTTCTTTTCGTTGATCATCCTTGTGGGTTAATATTTTGTTTTTGTTTTTGTTTTGTTTTGTTTCGTTTTTGGAGGGGGGAATCCGGGGAAGGGGGTTGTTTGGGGTGGGGGTATCATATCATAAATCATAATGGTATTGTTGTGTTTTAGTGGGGGTTTGGGTTGGGTAACCATTCTCAGCCTCAGGCAGATGACCAGTAGACTACTCGTACAGGAACCTGCGCTGTGCTGTATCATGATAATAGTATCATACTCGAGCAGTTTGGCTTATAATATCATACTCTATCTTTTTTTTCTTTTTTTTCTTTCTCTTTTTTTGCCCTCACTGTGAGGTATCCGATGGAGTGCGTTTGTTCGGCTTTGGTGTTAAGAGTGACAGGACGGGGAAGCTCGGGGCGCTCCAAGTTAGGTGCCTATGATATATAACAAGTATGATAATATTATGATAATAATATTATGATATATTACTCGAGCACCGGTATAATAAGGGCTACAAGCAAAAGGGAAAAGGGGAAGAAGAAAAAAAAAACCCCGGAGCACCAGGCTGCCGGGGCCCTGTTTGCAAATATCATACCGGTATCATATATAATAATATTATCATACTACAAGTAATATACATCCTGCACCCCATGCTCCGGCGTGTATCATAAAAGAACCGGAGAATTTTATCGAAAACGGCCACATCCCTCCTAACTCAGTGTGTATCAGCAGCAACCCTTGATCACCACAGCAATATTAGTTATATATCAGCACAACCCGGATGGCAAAAGGCAGTTCCAGAACCCCCCAATGTGGGGGGGGGGTATGTAGGGTAGGCTCAGGAGATGGACTGGGGGGCCTCCGAGGTCATTAAATTATTATCATGATTATTACATTGTTCCCATCCCAGACCATATACCCAGTGCAGTTTGTGTTGTGTGTGTGTCATGGGAGTTCAACCTTAGTGGAGTTTTTTTTTCGTGAATATGATATTTCTCCCGGCAAGAAAAAGGTATGGTAGAGTGTGGTGGTGCCAGGGTTCAACATTTGCGATTTGAACGCCGTTAGAGCTACCGGTAGGTCGCAGTTCGGTTTATATATTATGATACTAGCACATACAAACCTTGTATGTATAATAATATTATCATATGTGGCCCTGGAATTTTGTGGCGAGGCCTCAAATCGCGAGAATGGAGTCACAACATGTAAGTTATCATAGCACCAGTAACTGTTTCTCGCTGGGGTCTATCGCCAGGTATAGATAGCCCTTTGCGGCTCGGAAGAACCATCCCTGCTTATGATAGCATATCATAATATTATGATAATGTTATGATAATATTATTATGGTAAAGGGTTGGGCTAGCGAAGCGTTTCCAGGGATAGTATGATATGATAATACTTGTAATACTAGTATTATAATATTATTATAATAATATTATTATATCATAGTTTAACAGTGCTTGGAAGGGTAAGGGAACTTCATGGACACAACTGTAGAAACCAATAATTAGGCTGATTGCTTAGCCTCCCCCTCCCCTCCTCCCTGTCCGGGTAACTCTTAGTTGCATCCAAAATCCTCTCTGTGCAACTTTTCTTGACCGTTTTGAAAGACTAAGTTATATATATCTTGATTGTTTTGGGTGGGGTTGGAAAAGGAAGGGTTGTTTCTTCTCTAGGATGAGAAGCGGGAACATCGTTATCATGCAGTCTTATTATACATTTGTGCCAAGGAGGAGTCCGTCAACCATTTGTCACACTGCTATGTATCGCATCAGAGCTCGCCTTACTCCAGTAGATGCTTTGCGCCAATACAATGATACCGGCCACATTGCACATACACCTACACCCCCGGTCGCCGCGAGCAAACCGATAGCCTCAACCCGACGAGAGCACGCCATGCCTTCCCTGCCCAAAAAATCCGTACGCATCGCCCCAGACACTACTCTCTCCAAAAACGAGCGATTGGAAGCCCTCCACTCCGCGCGCATCGTCCTGGACAGCGTCTCCACGGATTGGGTATTCACCCCGCCGCCCCCGCCCGGTCAACCCTCGAAATTCGCACTCCAACGAAGCGGTAGTCTAGGGTCCTGGCGTCCCAACGCTGCCAGCTCCCCGCTCGCAACCTCCCGCACGGGCGACTCCGACTCGGAAGACGCGGGCTCCGACTCGTCCTTGGACCTGGACCTAGACCTGGAGGATAGCGTTGGGGCATCGTCATACAGGAGAGCACTGACTCCGCCGCCCAAGCCGAAACGTGTAAAGCAGCGGGGCGCGGGAACCTCGAGGGAGGGCGTCTGGCGGAGGAGGGAGGACGACAGCGACGTCGATGCTGCCAACATTGTCAAGCGGGAGAGCGAGAGCGGACAGTACCCCTTCGAGAGCCCGGACGACGTGCCCACGCCGGAGAAATTGCGGGAGCGTGTGAAACGGGAGATGGAGGCTGAGATGGCATGGAACGATGGGTTGAGATTGTTTGTCGCCAGACGGGATGCCTGGACTGGCGCTGTGGGGGATGAAGTTCCTGTTCGAGAATCGAGGTTTAAAGATGTACCCCTTCCCATCCCTTCCCATCCTCACTTCTTTTGCTAACCGGGCGCAATCAGAACCCCCTGACAAACCTGGTGACTCCCCAAGCATACCCGCAAATCTATAGAAAAGTGGTTCTCGAGGGCGCGACCCCACCGGTACCCATCGCTCTACCACACATGATTAACGCACTCGTGGAGGGCTGGCAATGCGACGATATGTGGCCACCAAAACCAAGCAGGCCAGAACCGAGCATGAGGAAGAAGACAGGTGGGGGGATTAAGAAGTTTATGGGTATCAGTTGACTAGCCGTCCCCCCCACCACCTGCCCAGAATGCAGGGCGGGGGTGGGGGTTGTGAAGTCGAAGTTGTAGTTGTAGTTGTAGCCTTTTTCTTCTTTATCTTCAGTCCATTGGTTTGTTCTTGGGATGGGATGGGATTGGATGAACGGACCGGGAGATGATTGATTTTTTAGCGGTCACTATGAATGAATGAATGGATGGACGGACGGAGGAGCCAGAGGGAGATCTTGTACTTTACTATACCTACTACGCCAATCGCCAGACATGATAGAATTTACTTCACCACTCCCCCCCCTCCTCCACAAATGATATGATATGATCTTCAACTCCCGCACCCCACCGTGAACCCGCAACAACCCAGCCCGTTACAGCCAATACTACCCTGCCTACGTACATATTCCGCCCCGGCGGTCTACCGGTACAGTATCATAAATAAGTAGTGGATGCTACTCGAGTAGTAGGATCCAGTTTGATCGTAGTGAGTTAGGATAGGCATCGGTAATGCGTATTATGGGGTGTTGTGGTGTTGAAGTTGAAGTAGTGGGGACGCGGGGGGGTATTTGGTATGTGCTCGTGAGTAGGAGTATATGCAGTTGTACTTGATATTCTGTTGAGCATAGATGTTTTTTTTTTTTTCTCTTTCCTTTTTTTCCTTTTTCTTTCTGTCTTTCTTTCGAGGCTTTGTACTATTTGGATTATGAGATTTGTGGGTTTGTTACGGTTATGATAATATCATACATTGTGGGTTTTTTGGATACCGAGCGTGGGTGCAATGGGTTATGCTGACTAAGTAGCTAGGGCTGGTTAACTGGGGCCTAATTTGTATAACCGTATGTGTTAAAGCGAAAAAATGAAGGGAAAACAAAAATGAGAGTCCCTTTATAATTGATTCCGATACTCAATCCCAATGGAAGTGAAATGGTTGGAAACCCATCACAACACAGGCGTGGGTTGCAGCAAGAATTACAAACTAACTAACTGATAGAATACCACAGTTTGCGAGGGTCGGTGAAACCTCACCTCCTCCCCGCCGATCTAGTTACGGATTGTGTGACCAGCGAAAACGATGTGATCCGCCCGATAACACTGGTAGTCACAAGGAAGCTTAACACACCTCCTTCCACTCATCCGGGGGGGGGGAGGGGTTCTCCATTCGAAGCGGTAAGTTGCAGGAAAGTTTTGCATTGTTGATACTGGATTGCTCGTTTTTGCTTGAGATCGCTTTCCTTTTTCATCCATCCCTCCTGACCTATTTCTCAGTGACACTCTTCGTAACCCCGGACGAATCGTGTGGGGTGTGATGGATGGTATCATATGACCGAACGTCGGCTGGAAAGCCAAAACTCCCGATGGTCCGGAGTTTGTGTGATATCATGTTAATCATGATGAATCACTCGTGAACTGGAGAGCGGAACATGGGGGTTGGGGCGGGCGTGGCTTGAGCGAGGAAGGGTTGACGCTGGAGTGAATTCAACCTTTTCATTTTATCACACCATTTCCTTGGTGCCAGTTATGGTGCGATTGGCCATAGTACCGGTATCACTAGTCGCCACACCGCCACGCACGTTGGGGCCATTGGCCTGCCCATTCTCTCATTTAATGGATGGAATAAGTTGGCTGGCCGGGTGGATGTCGCGAGCCCCAACGCTCGCTTGCCAGGAGAAATAGCCAATGATCATCTAGCATGGTTTGTGCCGCATTGGGAGATAGTGGATAAACAGGAAACCGGGACTTTGTGCCTAAGAAATCCTTGATTCGGTGCCGGGGCAGTGCTCGTGGGGTACTTGTGTATGTGCTGGGTCACGCTGACCGTTCTGCCTTCTGGAGGGAAGGCTAAAGTAAATTGATATTAAACCTCATGTTACTTGTGCGATGTACTGGGGGGGCGGAGCGTGGCATTGCTTTCGTCGTGTATCCGCTGGGTGGGGAGGAATCCATGCCGTGCAGAGACCTAAGGGACTAACACTAGCATGAGGGGGAAGAAAAAACCTTAAGAGAGGAAACGTATAAATGGAGCAACAATGGCCCGCTCTCTGCACTCTGTTCTTGTATCCTGAGAAGGTTTCGGCAACAAGAATGGCAGCGCAACAGGAGAAGATTGTATCAGGTGGTGCATAGGAGGGAGCTCTAAAGGTTTTATGCGTCATTAAGGTGGACGACCGAGTATTGTGCTGGCGGGGGTCAGTTTGAGTCGTGAAGATGTTCATGCGTCATATGATAAACTCACCTAGGCAACCCAACCCCCGCACGCCTCACCCCCATTGTGTTTGCGGTTTCTGATGCCGTTGATGGGTTGGGTGAGGTCTACTCGTACGTTGACTTCCTCAACCTCCCTCATAGTCTCGCACAGAATAAACGTACCAGTCAGGTCGACCAGCGCTCCCTGAGGGAAGGTGACATTTTTCTTTAATCGATTATTTGGCGGGATACTACCTAAATCGACAGAATGCCATTGGCAGGCAGAGGGGTATGTTTTATAAGGTGGTTTTCATATTCCACCTTTCCGCACAAGAGCCAAAGTACCCATGAAATTGAAACTAGGAACTGATTAATTTGCTAATATACAATTTCGAGAAGGAGATCTACTGAGCGTGCGGCAGTTGACGGGCCCTGGGATATCTAGTGACCAATTCCATTACATGCTGGTTAGCGGGGAGGGAGGGAGGGGACATTGGTGGGGTCTCTGTTGCTGGGGGAGCTCCGGGTCCAACTAATAGTGCACTCGAGTTCCGTTCTGTCCTTGGTCTCGTAGACTAAGTTACTCACTTTTTTTCTTCACCAGTATTCCCCACAGCACACGTGCCAAATGGACTTAATCTGTGAAGGCGTGGACTGTGAGCCTTGAACATTTTGCTGTGGTCTGTCCTTACCTCTTCTAGAGCTATATTTTCCTTCACCACCTCCCGAATGCGGTTGCCCCAACTCACTCATGGGGGGAAGGTCTGGTGGATAGACTAGGCTTAACTAGCCTGAGTCCAGTAGCATTTGAAGGCATTGGGGAGAAAATATCCGGGGAGGGGAGGTAGACTAAGGATTTCATGAAAGAGTAGAGGAGTCGAGTCCAATTATCACGATAAAACTACAGCTGTGAGATGGGGAGAGAGATGGTTAATTGCTATCTGAAATAGCAGACCGGACTTGCATCAGGAAGTCCAAAGGCTCCCAACAGCCGTTATTTGATATATCGGGAAGAATGAGAATTGGGCTGATCTGAGAGCTGCCATAGGATACTGCCATTTCTATTATGATATCGGCATTGGATCTTCTTTACGCCTTCACAGCGCGAGAGGTGCCTTGAGAGACCGCCAAACCAAATTCCGAACTGAGGGATCCAAGTTGTGAAGAGTGATTGAGTGCCCGAGCAAATATGATGCCAGATGCGCTTCAATCGGAGCCGGGGAAGAAGTGCTTGCCGCTGAGGCTTACGTCTATCTTGAGCTAGGGACCCGATAGGATAAACCTCTCTGGAATAATGCTGGAATAGCTTATCGTAGGCCAGACTATGGATAAGATATTTGCCACGCGGTAGATTCTATGTGCATAGCACCTACTGCTACACTCTAAGAGTTATTTATCGTTTATGACAGCGCTCTTTTCTCTCAGTGGTATCAAAATTCAACACTATCGTCATAGAAAGTCACTCGAGTGCAATGCCACTCCAACTGCCACATCCTGCAAGCCACTCACACCACCAGCGCAGAAGGGATCATACGTCATCAACAGCACGAGAACAAGGCAGGAAGACATCCCCTAAGTTACCCTACAAGATAGAGACTGAAGTGCACACCCTTCAGCCCACCCTCTCCCCCTCCCTTCAATCCTGACTCCCCAGAATCTCCTCGGTATCTTTCTACAAGTTGGCCAATCCCCATAGTATCATACTCGAGTACACAAATCGCAAACCAAACGGAGGCTAACTAAACGCCATGTCCACCACCACGGCCACCCCGGTGCCAAAGCGCCACAAACTAACCCTCGACCAGCGCATCCTAATAATCACGTGGCGCGCGCGGGGCAAATCCTACAGCAGTATATCCGAGGAGACCAACATTTCCGAAACGGAAGCAACAGCGATCGTCAAGCGCTGGGAGAGCAACCGAGAACTCCGTCCGCGGCCCGGAGGGCGACCGAAGAAGGGGCTGACCAAGCAGGATCGGCGACGCCTAGTGCGGATCCGTGAGGAGCGGCCGGGGGCGTCGGTGTGGGAGATATGGGACACGGCCGCGGCGGCAGGGGCAGTGGTGGGGGTGGGGGTTAGGACAGTCGGCAGGTTTTTGCGGGGGGTGGAGAGGGAAAGGAAGAGGGCCAAGAGGGATGGGGCTATTCAGCGGAAGGGCGGGAAGATGCAGGTATCATAAGTAGGAGGTAGGGTTAGGGGTTACATTATCGATAAAGTGGACTTAAGCGATATAAATTTAATTTACCCATCCATCCTGGATATTTCACTTGAGCCTTCAATCTTTACTACAACAAAACTAAACAAAAAACAAACATGCCATCAATCCCCCTCCATCCAACCCCCCGCTCGCCCCCTCCCCCTCCACCAACAAACCCCCTCCCACAGTTCCTGCATACCCCCTCCGGCCTCGCAATCGTCGAAGTCCAAGGAACCATAAACCTCCCCCAACAACTCTCTACCGCCACCGCCTCCTCAAACGCGCAGCAAAGCCACGAAACTCCCGTCGGCAGACTAATTTTTCCAGACGGTGACCTAACGCCTTCCAAGCAGGTCTACTTATACATCGGTAAGAATCAGCGGCTTACGGGCGAAGTGAAGGAGCTAGCTACGCCGCTCGGGGTCCTGCGGAGGAGGGATAATGCTACTGGTGGTGGGGGTGGGGAGCGAGGGTGGGAAGGAGAGGAGTTGGAGATTTTTGAGATTGTGAGGTGGAAGCTTTTGTTTTCGCAGAGGCCTGAGCCGGTTAGTTAGGAGGTGAGATGGGTGGATGGTGAGGGGTTATGATGGATGAGGTTGTGGATGGTTATTTCAACTTCCAAACTCGCCAACAACTAAACTAAGTTATCGGAGGATGGATGGATTGCGGACTTGGCTGCTGTGTTTTCTATGATATTTACTAGCGTCAATATATCCTCGTTAATTCTAGCGTGAAAATTCAGCGCTCTGCGAGAGCAAAAAAAATTGGAGATACGGCGAATCGAACGCCGGACCACCTCTATGCTAAAGAGGTATTATACCACTAAACCATATCCCCATTTTGTTACCACTAGGTCGCATGTGACCATTGAGATTCAAATTTGCGCGACCGAAAGTTCCAGAGTCATACATGGCATTATCTTGTCCGTCCATATCTACCATATCCCGATCATTTCTAACGAGAATCTCCAACAAAAGTTAGTCCCCGCCACACTAAATCCATACCAACTTTAGAAGTACCCAAAGCACGCCCAAACCGAACGCCGAGCCCACAGCAATCCTCGCAACCCATATACTACACTATCATACATACAAACCCAAACCCCTAAACTAAACAAACACCCCCCCAACCCCCCCAACTCTCCCACAAATACCCATCCTCCCACGCCCCATATTCTCCTCCCTCCAAACGCGCAGATCCAACCCCCTAACCAACCCCCCCATCCACTCACTCCTTGCAGCGACCCTAAACAACCCGTCCACGACCCCTCCCAACTCCTCGACCTCCACCCCAAACTTCGGCACGAGCACTTCCCGCCGAGAGGCAGGCCGCGTAACGTACCAGATCCCGTTATGCATTTTCCACTCCGTGCGCAGGGTTTTTGTTAGTGTTGCTGTTGTTGTTGATTTTGTGCTTGTATGTGGGCCAGGAGGTGGGTTGGGGAGGGGGGGAAGGGGGAGGAGGGGAACGGCAGGATTCGAGATGTGCTGCTGGATGGCGGCGGCGTGGGTCGTCATGCTTTTTGCGGTTTCGTATGCTGGGTGGTGGGGGGTTGGGGATATGGTGTCCAGGAGGGGGATTGCGCGCGTTAGGACTTTTAGAAAGAGGGAGTAGATTGCGGTGTTTACCGATGAGGAGAGGATATCCGGGGTTGGGAGTGCGCTTAGCGATGCGTGGATTGAGTTTAGGAGGGTTGTTAACATGGATGTTACTGCCTCGACGCATGCGTCCAGTGTAGAGTCCACATCCAACCGGAGCTTTGCGAGTATCTTCTCAGTAGCTTGGAGCAATGGCGCGCTGAGTATCCACCCCGCAGGGTTAGTAAACGTGCACTCGATATACGCCGGGAATATCGCTTCAGTAAAAAGCGACCGCAGGCTGGGTTTCTGTGCCGGGCCCACTTCCAATTCCCCGGACAACGCAGTGGTAAGTTGGTGAACAAGATACTCCTGCTGTCCATCGATCGCCGCGCGCTCACAGACGGATTGGAAAAAGCTGGTGAGCTGCTTGTGCATGCGCTGGTGTGAGAGCTTCAGGCCGTAATTCTTGAGTCGGCCAACGACGTACATAGGATCAGCGGACGGCAGCGGGAACACACTCGAGTCGGTGAAGAAGGGGTCGATCGTCACGATGTCGATCGAGTGCTGCTGCAAGTACTCGACTACTTGCTGCACAAATTTGACGTATGCGCCTGAGGAAGATTTCGCATGGATTTCCTGCTTGGAGATTAGAATTACGTGCGCATGGGTGTGCGGGTATAGTACTTGGTAGATCTCCTTCATGGACCTCATCATGGATTTAAGCATCTCTGAGTATTCGAGTTTGAGCGTTAGGGCTCGCTGCGCAGAGTCGTTGTGGGTTTCTTCGTAGTTCTCTCGCATGTTTGCAAGGATTGCTGTGAGTGGTGTTAATTAGATTTCAGAAGTAATGAGATGGCGTGACTTACTAGATATCAAAGATAAACGTCGAGCTCGGAAGTCGGTCAGGGTGACTTTGAACTCTCCGCTCACCTCGTCGCGCACGAATGGTGGATTTGCAAGAATCGGATTAGTAGGATCACAGTTGAGGAGCGTCGCAGTATACTCATTCTGGAACTTGAGCAATGACTCCCTTTCCACTAATGTCTTCAACCAGAAGGATATGAACGCCGTCTTGTTGGACTCATACACGTCTGGTGCCGATTGTATAACTTTCGGGATGAAATACGCCGTGAACTTCCGAGTTTGCTCCGTGTCACGAAGCGATGACCATGACTCTGGATTATATTGGTCAAGATATGCATCCCAGTTCTGGCGGATCGGTCAGTATCATTAGCTATATTCAGGGAACACCAACTTACTTTTAGCCCATGTCGGACTAGGAACCCGACGACTAGAGCCCATGTATCAACGGTTTTGATTAGAAAACTATCTTCTGGTTGTATGTCGCTACCAAAGCAGTTGGAAAGCAGCCTATGCAATGCTTCATATACAGTAACAAACAATTGCTAATATTGTTAGCTGAACGCCTGCAAAAAAAAAATGCCGGGCCCATACTTCAGCTGCTGCCCTTTGATCATCCTTAATTATGATATCGTCGAATCCCGACCAGTCTCCATAGTCCTGGCTGTCCTCGCCCGCTTGAACAGAGACTCCAGCGGATTCGTCGGCACTCTTAGTAACAACCAAATACTGCTGGATCAAATCAAGAGCTTCAAAGATCAGTTTATTCGAGAGTCGACCGTAAGAATTCAATACATTCGCAGTAGAAGCTACTCCTAACTTTAGTTTATGCACGACAACAATAATCGATCAGGGAATAGATACCTTTCGTGAGAATTACAATCGCACTCTGTGTCTGTCCTTTGATTCCTACCAGCGTACTGCGCAATGACTTCAACGCGTCAATAAGAATACCCTCGAGTTGCTGTTGATTCCGGCGGATGTTATCCTCCATAATATCTTCCGTTAACTCCGTATCACCCCTCTCCTTTGCCGCGCTGAAGTGCTTTTCCGCCTCATTCCGTGCGGCGTGGTGTTGGTTCAAGGCGGAACCTGTGAAGTGGTCGAACCACCCCATGAATGGCTTCAAGACGTCTAGGCCCTCGCCGCTGTGCAGTTGAAAACGCATAAGATTCAACCAGGCTCTAATACTGACGATGCAAGCTTGCTGATGCGACAGATCCGGGTCCACCAGATATCGAATTGCCTCCAATGGGGGACGACATTGAGGCGGAGAAGCCCACCATAGTGTTGAGAGTAGATCATGATGATTTCGCAATGCGGTAAGGTTTTCTACCCGGAGTTCTTCATACTTGAGATATTGACGGCCGTGGTTTGGCATCAGCCTGTTGACGAGATTTCCAATCTTATTGATCGGCGTTGATGCCTTCATTGCGTGAAGGCCTAAGCCAACTACCTTCAATAGCAGATGAAAGCAAGGGTCAGAGTCCCGCATTTCCAGGGACGGATTGCGGTCAAGATTCTGGAGGAAATCAGGGGACCCGTAGGTCTCCTCATTCCTTAGATTGGCTAGGTTCTTGCTGGCGAAGAATTCGTAAAGTACCGGGATAATAATATCGGTATTCAACCATCCCCACTTCGCAATGAGGTGATGACATCGTGCGTATAGTGTCCTACAGTATGCATTGATGGCGCCAGAGTGCCCTTCAATATTTGTGCCATATACTTTCAGAGGTCGACCAATGAGGACTCTCAAAAGCGCCCAATTCTCAGAGAGGTTTCCATCTCTCACTGGTCCTTGGACAACTCCAAATTCATCGAACTGGTATAGCGGTAAGATTGTCCAGACTCTACGCCAGTGCTTCTCGAAGATCCGTATATCTAAAGCCCGCTCAATTTCTGGAGGTCGCAATTCGTTATTTAATAGCTGCCAAAAACTAATATGCTGATAGTGAACTGAATCCAAGGTGTATATCGCAATAACCCAGGCTTCAATGAGATAATGCTTTGGATCTATCCCACGCTCGTAGTTGGCGATTACCCGCTGATCCTCGTAGCATTCCCTAATAGCATTAAAGCCACATCTCAAGAGGCGACCAAGCAATTGATGTCCTAGTCTCCGGATCGTTCTATCCAGCTCTAGTCGTTCCCGGGCTCCAGGATCTCCGGATGCGAGTTTATATATTTGAAAAGCAAACAACAGACCAAAGACATGGAGCTGGAGCGCTAAGCGCGTTGGCGCTTTGCTTAAACTTAGAGGCGTGCTCCCCTCTAGAACCGGTAAGACCTGATCACAGGATGTGTCGATAGCCTGAAGTATTCGTTGACCAAATGATATCAGGTCAATAGAGTCAGAGAAAGATATCACCCGGTAAAGATAGTTTGAGAAGAAGAGGTAAAACATGTAAGCCCGAGAAGCCCACATATGGGCCTCAACATCGCTACCCCCCTTATGTGCTCCGTCTACAAACTCTACGATATCATGCATGATCGACTCAAACTCTGCGGCCATAGAATCCTCGTAAACGCCCCAGCGAACAAGTTTGTCGCCAAAACGAAAGTTGCTGCTATGGCCGAGTGTCTGGAGCTTGGAATTCAAGGCTTTGGATAAGCCTCCACATCCTATGAACGTCTCACTGTTGAAAATTGTTCCGGGTTTTAGTGGAATTGTATCGAATGATAATGTGTATTTGCTACCATAGGGCAATAATCCGATAAGTACAGGCTTAACATCCAGAGTTGTGTTTGGAGCTGGCTCCGGGATCATTTCGATTTCTACATCATCAGCGATGATTCGATCTTCTGGAGGAGGCTGACGCCGTTCGATAGTCTCAGCATCAATTCGCGCCGGCGTACGCTTTCGCCGGGGCCGAGTAGGCTTCACAATTTTGAGGGTTGAGGTCGGGGCAGGTCTGGGATCGCCGCGCATAATCGGCGGTGGATTAATCAAATCCTCATCATCCATAAACCTTCTTAGGTTCTGGTGTCTTCGAGCTGTTGTCTGAAGCAGCTCGGCCAGATTTAGTCGTTGTCCCTGTCGAGAAGATTTCTGGAGTCTTGCGACTGCTATACCTGGGGGCTCCTCTCTCTCGAACTGTGTAGGCTCGGGCATAAAAAACGGCTGATGTGTGATGGCATTTGGTCTTGCTGGCACAGCTGTCACATTCGAACGCTTCCGGCTCTTTTGACGCAAGCGGTGTGCATCATTAATCCTGCTCAATAGCGGCCGTGTACGCATGATATTAGTTAGAGTAGTTTGTTTAGGTCGTCGCCGGGAAGCACTAGCTCCTATTGAGGAAAGTCCGAGATCCAAGCCCAGCACCCCAGCAGGATGTTGTTCCACGGTGGGTGATAGTGGTCTTGTTGGAGGAGCATCGGTACGGTCTTCATCTGGGGAATCATGTGCTCTGATGGCTATAGTCCCTTCTCTCCACTCCCTCAGAACGCTTTGCACCTCCTGCGTGTCTGCCGCAGTATCCAATTGGAATATCTTCTTTGATGGACCTTGCCTTCCTTTTGACCGCCTCTCCCTTGCACTTCTCGTTGCAACTTTGAGAAAAGTTGGGGGAGAGATTTCAGGATTGGTAGCTCGATAATGCCTCACTGCATCTACAATTCCTAACTGAGGGACCTTCGGTTTTCTTTTGGTAGAGTTCCTCTTCGTGCCTATATGGTTCGTTATCCTTGGCTGCCGAAGGCGTGAGCCACTCCCAGAATTCCTAGCTCCACTAAGCCTATCGGCACTCATACCCTGAGGCGCCCGTGATGGCCCGTTCTGATTTCTCTGTTTCTGTTTTCTAAGCCCGCTATTCCGTTGAGTTACCGGAAGCATACGATCTATTCTATCATCCTCCACAACATCATCAATTTCGATTACTTCGATCTGATGTTGGCGATGAAGGAGTCTTGGGCGGCCCGAAGGAGGGGCTTGAGGTTGTATATTCGCCGGCCCGTTTGAATCATCTGAATCATCGCCAAAAAGAAAGGCGTCACCGACAGGAGACCTTGGCCTGGAAGTAATCCTTGCTCTCGCTACGCCAGGTCGGGGAGTGAGATCCTGTACTGGAGTCGAGCTTCTTCGATCGCGGCGAGAATCATTCGTTGAGCTAGGGTGCTGTCTTTTGTCGAGTTTCCACCAGGAAGCTGGAAGTACACCTGCTGTCTTGCGTTGCAAACGACGGACCTCTTGGGATTCGTCCTCTGATTCTGATGGAGTGGGCTCTTCTTCAGGCGGAGATGAAGATAATTCAAGTACAGTTCTCACGGGACGGGCTCGAGGAGTATCATCATCAGACCCCGGCGAAATTGGCCGAGGCCTCCCTTGCCCAGTAGGTGATGACTCAATATCTGATGATGAATCAAGAAGAGAAAGTATGCCACGCCTTTTTATGCCCTGTTCTTGAGTAGGTTGCCGTGGGGTCTTTTTAGTAGGCGACCCATTAGGTGATGTCTGCACAAGCGGTGTTCGAGATCGCCTCTGGGGCGAGTCCTCAGACAGCTCGTACACGTCCCTTCCATTTTCATCGATTTCTGCCTGGATGCTGGAGGGAGTTAAACGAGCATTTCCGGCACTCTGGCCCGCATCCGGCTGAGGCCTGACAGCACTTGCATGCGGGCGTTTTGAATATGTATGGTTTACTTTGCGTCGCTTCACGCCATCCGCCAAAGCGCCATTAGGCCTAGGCCTCTCCCGTGAAGCACTAGCAGCATCTTGGAACCCCTCAAAGTCATAGATATCTACCGGCCTATCACCCTGCCCTCCAGGTCCACCCCTCCCTCTAGATGACACTGGCACAAACTGACTTTCGTCATTCTCCGGCTCGGGGGGCGCTACATAGTCGCGCTCTTGGGAGTCCTCATCTGCACCAAGCCCTCCATTTGTTTCCTCTTCGACCTCACTAATTCGTACTGGTCGGACACCTCGAGCCTTTAGGGTTTGGCGATATCGTTCCTGTTCTATCAGATATGGATTCCTCTGAATTGGCTTACGTACGCGGAGGCTTCGATAATATTGTGGTGCATCATTATCCGGAGGTATTATTATTTCTTCCTCTTCCCTCCCTTCTGCTGCGGGAATGACAACCGAGAAGGTAACACGGCGGGGTGGAGACCGCACAGCAGAAATTGAGGGCGGTGTCAGAACAACGGAAGGCGGTGATGATAGTGGGGAAGATGTAGCTGGCGAGTCTCCCTGGTATAGGTTCAGGGGTGTTCGTGGCTCCGACAACCCCAATAATTCCTCCTGGGTCGATAGCTCGCCGTCAGAAATGTCATCGTCGGAGGCGGGCACATAACCAGTTTCCCTCCAGTTCGTCATGTCATCATATGTCGCGAGGTTGACTTTGGTGTTTGTCGTGCGTCCTTGTAGCAGTTCCGGCGCTACAGCACGAGCGTTGCTCCATGGGTTCCAGTCGCGTCGCCCACAAGTAGATAGGAGAGGTGACGGACCGAAATTGGTGTCTCGGACGCGACGAAAACCAATTAACGCGTCCTACCCGAGTAAGTTACAAGGTTGTACAGTACTCGTACTATGATAAGGCAAAAACCGTCCGATCCAAACCGCCAAGCCAGTAAAATTTTATTGAAAGACAGTAGTTAGCATGAATGGGTCAATTGGCTTGTAATTCAACAGACATTCATGCATTTTTAAATTTGTAGAGTACCGGTACCTTATCGAAGTCAAGAAAAAGATTCTGGTAGCCCACGTGATGTCAATCATCTTACTAGTACCGGATCTCATACCTTGAACCCGTACCGGTACCTCTCGCGCCGCACGCCATAACTCTGCAATCCGTAAGAAGCCCATCCTATTACTTCCAAGCCCCCTCTTATCTCTCTTCGATCAACGATTCAGAATAAGCTCAAAATGCGCGGTCACGCTGCGATCTTCCCTATCGGCTTTGCCGTCATCTTCGGCGTCGCAAATGGTTCTTCCTCCAATGAATAACTCTTACAGTCACTTGACAAAAGTCTTGGTGAAACGAGACTTCACCTTGCTGGAGATCACGGTACTGCTGCGGGTGTAGGGGGTATTGTGCAATGGGTGACCCGTTCAAGAGGCAAAGAGAAACCTTATTTCACCAAGACTTTTATCTACTCGAGCAGTGACGGTATTTTCTTTAGTTACTAACCTGCGCAGGCATAGCTATTTTCCAGCCACTCGTGGTGGAACAAAGGCTTAAGGCAATTCGAGACCAGTCAATCCCCTAACCCCAGGCTTGATCACAGTAACTGACCAGGAGTAGGAATGAGATTGCGGATCATGCGGCCGACGAGATTTCACCATCCGATAGTCAGAAGAAATTACCGGTTCGTTTAGAGGTTGAAGCAACCAAGATGAGAGATAAGCAGATAAAGGGAATAGAGGCCACGGGAATGTCGAACCCGACTCTTAATATGAGATGCGAAGGGGAGGCGAAGCCCGTGAAGGTTCCAGCCAGTTGGTATCAGTTTTGGAAGTGAGCAGCGGGGTCCATAATGTATTACCTACCGGTACCGGTATTGGAGGGACAATTGAATAAGTATCATATCAGTTTTGAGCCAACAAAGCGCGTTTTGGCAGAGCTTTTGAAGAAAGGATCTTGCTGAGCTCTTGGCCAGCATTTAAAGCAATTCCCATATTGTATTGTAAAAACATGCACTCGCCTAGGCTTAATCCCTTTCATGATGCCGCCTACGCCGTCGTCTACTATCATCCCTTCTCGTTGGAGGATCTAACCTCCTCCTTCTCCCCCGTGGTGATTCTGACCGTCGCCGGCTCTCCTCACCACCTTCGCTTCTTCCCCTGTGATGTCTTCCTCGTGAGGGTGATCTCGATCCCCTACTTCTCTTCCTCTTCGATTTATCACCTCGCTGCACATAGCGTAACTTGTCTGCGCACTCTTCACAAACCCTCGCAGTGACAAGAGCATGCTTCTTCTCCCCGCGTTCAGCATATTCAAAATTAAGTTCAACGCTTCGTAGGCCACCCTCTTCATCGGGATTCTCATCCAGTGTGCTACGGTGGTTCCGACAGGATAAATTTGCGCAGGAGAACTGACCCTTTCCATCGAGCACTTCCTGCTTGGTTCGCCACCTCATGGCAATCTACCATATCAATATTAGCGTAAAAAAAACCTCGAAGTAGAAACAAAAGGAGAGGAAACCTGTTTTTCTCGCCATCTCGCCAGTTCTACCATCGCAAACTCCTTGAATAACTTATCATAATAGCTTTTCGCAATCCTCTTTTCTTCCGTATCCGCTTCTTCATCGGTCCGGATGAACTGGTGATGGTCCTCTAAGATGTCGCGTTCGTTTCTGTATTTCGCTGGTGTGGGAATGGTTCCACCGTAGTAAGAAACGTAGGCCGAAGCAGCTTGTAAATGTCGAGCATAGGCAGACGTGGCACCAGATGATTGAGCAAACGCTCTGCTTGTCGGGGGCATTTTGGTGTGGTGCTGAGAAGCTGCCTTCCTCCCTTCACAAGGAACTTCAGGAAATATGCCAGTGGTCTGCGCCTGGCCAGGAGCAAAAAAAAAGGTCTTGGCGCCAAGGATGAATGAGTGGAAAAGTATTTAAGCAGTAAATTTAATCTTCATCTCCCCCGGCTCTTCATTGCACGCGTGTTACTTGTTAGCCACAATTTCCTCTATCGGCCAAACGAGCGTCAAACCGAGCAAAGATCAATAGAATTTCTTGAAAGTTTGCTGTGAAGTGGACGTCTTGGAGGAATTAATTGCCAGGTTTTCCGGGTGATTGGATGCTCTCCTTTTGAGAATTCTCACATTTTCATGGTACGGAATCAAGGTGTCTGATGACCATTGGTTACCTCTCTCCGAATACCGGTAACCGTGTAACAGTGGATTGGTATGATACTTGCACGAGTACGGTACTGTAGACTACTAGTACTCGTACTTCAGCTGAACCACTGCCAGTACTCGGGTATGAGGCTATCTGCAAAATTCGCTGACACCCCTCCTACTTCACACTAAAAATGGGCAGCGAAATCTCAGCTTTGTCACTCTGTAAAAAAATTTCAAATTTGTTAGAGGCCCCTGAGCCATCTAGATATTATCAGTTGTAAGTGAGCTCTATTAGTTAACGCCCATAGTGCAATGCCAGGAATAATGAAAAGATGCTTCTGGTTTTATATAGGTTTCCCATACAACAGGTACATTTTAACAGCATCCAATCTGACCCCTCAACTCTCAGCCCTCAAGGTAGGGTCAGAAAATTGACATAATTTCCACCTGGAAATTCTGGGCAATCGCCTACACTATGGAATTGATTTCGTTCATTCTCATTACTTTTAGGCAAGTTGAGCGTGGTTACAATCAGCCATTTTTGTTGTTGTAGTGAGGGGGGGGTGTCAGCGAATTTTGCAGATAGCCTCCTACAGTACATGAGCCTTTGGGGAGAATGTTGTATGGTAGCTCGGATCTTTAAAACAATGCTCTTGTAGACTACGAGTCTCAGAACCAAATGAGAGCAACTCCTGGGGAAACCTTGGCCCCTAATCCCCCCAGCCCGGTTTAAAATGCTGTTCTTTCTCCACCACCCGCAGCTTCTGGCGGGGTTGCGTAAGTGTGTCAGCTCGTGGAGAGCTCTAGGAACAAACACAAATACAACCAGTCTACCCCTCCATCGCTTTGACCATCGTTCACTCAATCCTCAAACTTGACAATACCCCAAACCTTTCCCCCTCATCCCTCTTCTCCGCCCCACCATGCCCATCACAAGAAGTATACTCCAACATTTTGTAGTTTTCTCGACAATATCTAACATTCCCCAGAAACCATTTATGCTGCACAGCCTTCTACCCAGCGTGCGAGGCCAACCCATCTTTCAACAGATCCCAATGGTGAACGTCTAGCATATGCTGTATGCATACCTCCCCGTACCTCTAGGGAGCAAAGCTAACCTTACCAGTCTGGGAAATCCGTTTTCCTTCGCTCGATCGATGACCCCTCTCTCTCTACCCAATACACCGGACATACCAGTACGGCGAATGTAGCCCGCTTCTCGCCCAGCGGCTATTACATTGCATCGGGTGATTCTTCGGGCATGGTGCGAGTTTGGGACGCTGTGGGCCCAGAGATGATCACAAAGGGCGAGTTTGGGATTATATCCGGCCCCATCAACGATATTGCCTGGGATGGGGAGAGCAAGCGTTTGATTGCTGTCGGGAACGGCAAAGAGCGGTATGTTCATTCTTCATTCTACTCGGCGCCACGTTGTTGATTGTGGCTAGTTTTGGCCATTGCATCACGTTCGATACAGGAAACTCCGTTGGCGAGATCCTTGGCCATTCCTCTACAATTAATTCGGTCTCCATCCGACAATCACGTCCCTACCGAGCTACTACGGCTTCGGACGACCATAATGTTGTCTTCTTTCATGGGACCCCATTCAAATATAATAAAACACTTACTAGTCATCATTCAAATTTCGTCCAGGGTGTGGCATTTTCCCCAGACGGAGAGCACTTCGTCTCCGTGGGCACGGATCGCAAGATCATTTTGTACGATGGTAAAACGGGGGAGTTCAAGACCGAAATCGCCTATGGAGATGCCACCCATAGAGGAGGTATCTACTCAGTCTCTTGGAGTAAGGATTCAAAGAGATTTGTTACCGCCTCAGCAGATCAAACAGTCAAGGTCTGGGACTTGCAGTCCGAGAAGAACTCGCACACATGGAGGTCTGGGCCAGAGGGAACAAGCATTCCTGACCACCAAGTTGGTGTCGTCTGGACACCCAGAGCTGACAACACCATCATCTCACTGTCGCTATCGGGGGATCTAAACTACCTTGACCTGAACTCTGACCGGCCAAAGAGGGTAATTACTGGGCATCAAGCATCTATCGGCGCAATGGCCGTCACTGGAGAGACAAAAACCTTGTTCACTGGAGGCGTAGATGGGAAAACCTGCGGGTGGGATCTGACCAAAGGAACTGCGGATTCACTGGATGGTGCAGGCCACACGAACAGTGTCTGCGGATTTTCCTCGCAAGACGAAAGAAGATTGGCTTCGATCGGACTAGATGACTTTATAAGGCTTATTGATGTTGGGGCCAAAGTATTCATGTATGCTCCTGTGAATCGCAGATACGAAGAGATAGGCTAATGCGGTAATAGTGGAACAAATCACCATTGTGACGCGCAGCCTAAGGGGTTTACTTGGCTAACATTGAAGGGGGAGCAATTTCTGGTTACTGCAACAGAAAAAGGAATCCTTCTGGGTAAGGTTACCACCAAACTCAAAGTCAATGAGGTACTGCAACAAACCTACACCCCCACCCATATATCTGGCTGTCGAGATAAGGGTATTTTTGCCGTTAGTGCTGTAGACCAAACGATCCACATATATAGCACTTATGAAGAGGGGCCGGGCGAGCAAAGGATTAGTGAGGGGAAAGTCCTCAAGGACTTTCAGGCAGCGCCGACATGTCTTTCCTACTCACCCTCGGGAAAGTATCTTGCGGTCGGGTTCTCATCGGGAAAGATCATCCTATACGATGTGGACGAGGGCTACGCAGTGAAAACTACCCGTTGGTCATTTCACACGGCTAGGGTGGCGAGTATCACCTGGAATGCGGAGGAAACCCACGTCGTCTCGGGGAGTCTTGACACGAATATCTACATCTACAGCGTTGCGACCCCAGGAAAGAATCAATCAGTCAAGAATGCGCATATGGGAGGTGTGACTGCCGTTGATTGGGAGGGATTCGATGGAATTGTCTCGGCTGGGGCGGATGGAACCATCAAGAGGTGGGGGGTTAAGCTAGAGTAGAAGGAGTTTCCAACAGTTTCTCCAGCTGGTGATACCGAGTTGAAAAAATTCTAGAGCTTCTGCTCATACCAATTTCTATAGCTGTTAATCTCCTAGGTAATCATATGAGTAGTGGCCCTGGCGCCTCATTCCTGGATTCGTACTCGTTACTTATCTCTTGCCGTGCCACCGAAACAAAACGACCATTGTAACATGGGACAGATTCGCGCCTCTGGGGCTCTCACTAGAAGTGAAATAGCACAACACCACCACGTTCCAGTAGCCTAAGGCCAAGAGGCTAACTACCACTAAAATGTGGAGGAAGTTTGGAGGTTCGACTCTTTCTTTCTTTCTTTCTTCTGGGGGGGGGGAATGGTACTCGTAGAGAGCAGTAGAAAAAGGGAATAAGCTCTAGGTCGGAGGAGTAGCAGTCAGATGTCTAGCCAGTCGAAAAGTTGCTCCAGGCCGCATGCAAGGCCATATTGGTATTGCGGGGTATCCCGCATTTTCTGCAATAGAGTTACCTTGCGCAATCGAGGACTCCCCGTGCGATATTTCAATTATATATCTGGAAGGGGTTTAGAAGTGGTCTTAACATATCTTCACCTAATCGACCTCTAAATTCTAGATTCCCTGGAATCTGAACTGCCCCCCCCGGGTTCAGATTTGAAAGTCTAGAAACTTGTAGACTATACAATTGGTCAACCAACCCAAGGCCATATTTCTCAATGCCCAAAATGGAGAGTTGATAAGTTAACGATCCTCTGGAAGATCATTTCCTCCTTGTGTTTGTTAGTTTCATATGTATATTTTCATTCTACGGTACTGCAATGGGCAAAACCTAGAAATTTAGGAAATAGTTTTTTTCCGCCTGGATGGTCTGTGATCCAGATTCTTGTTCCAAGCCCTCTAAAATCTACCCCAAGTCCTCTATTCTGGGGTTATGCGGAATTACGTGGCTACCATACCCGAGTGATAAGCTATGCCCTGAATTAGAAGCGAAACACGGGTTGGCGTCTGCATGAGGCTTAAGCCAGTTAAGAGCGCTTTCAACGGCTGCGCCCAACCAAGCAACTCAACCCCCCATCAAAAAAACTGTCAACAACACGACTTCCCCGCGTCGGCTAACTCTAAGTTAAGGGGGGGTGTGAGGTTACGGAGCTTCGACAACTCGGATTCACAACTCCACTCTACCATCTCTATCTATCATGTCCGACTTTCAAATCGGAGATCATGTTGATGCGAACGGCCAACATGCTATCGTGCGTTTCGTCGGCGAGACATCTTTTGCTCCGGGGGAATGGCTAGGGGTTGAACTGGATGTCCGCGAGGGGAAGAATAACGGAACGGTTCAGGGGCAGAGGTACTTTGAGTGCGAGGATCGACATGGCATTTTTTTAAGGCCATCCATAGCAAGACTCATGGAGCGGCCGGCGGTCGCCCCCGTGAGAAGGCCTCCGCCTGTTATTTCGCCTCCTCCGACGAACACTAGGATTGGGGGTAGGCCGTTAAGCTTGAGGGTATAAATTCTTGATGGCCAAAGTTCCCAGTGATAATGGGGGGTTGTGGATTAACTTAACGGCTAGGCTCCGGCGTCACCGACTAAAGGGGTCTCACCGACCAATGCGTCTTCATCGGGTTACAATACACCACGAACCGGTACTCCAACCATGAGTCGACCCGGTTCGAATTTACGGGGGTCTATTAATGGGAGGCCGGTTTCTATGGGCCCGCCCCTAAATCCTAATAAGCCACCTGCCACTACCAATATGGGAATGCCTCGACGCCAATCTACAGTGAACTCGGCAGCACTGTCCCGGACCGGCTCTAATTCTTCCTCAGCAAGTAATTCCGCCTCAAGACCGCCACAGGCCAATAGGCTTTCATTAAAACCAGCAAGTTTATCAGCACTAGGGGTGGTGGGGAAAAAGACTAGTGCTGTGAGCACTTCTTCTGAGAGAAGCTCACCGGAGGGGAGCTCTACAGTTGCGGCCGGGGGTGCATTAAGGCGGACGAGGAACGATAATGATCCTAGGGTGTCTCCGGGACCCGGGAGACGAGCTTCGGTTATTGGCAGGACTGGAGGCGCTCCACCGGCCAGGGTTGGCATAACGGGACAACCTCTTAGTCCTGCAACCCCTGGTCCCGCCGCTGCAGCTAGTGCTGGAGCTATGGCGGCATTGTCCAGGGAGCTTGAAGATCTGAAGAGCACTATTAAGGTGATGGAGAAGAAGAGAATGGAAGACAGGGATAAGCTTAGGTCACTTGAAAGAGTGCAGGCTGAAAGAGATAAATTTGAAACTATCATTCAAAAACTGCAAGGTCCGATATACATTCCTTTATCTCATTGCTTGTGATTTGAGGGAAACCATGTACGCTGACAATGACCACTATAGCGAAGTATCAACCTCAACAGGCGGAACTCACTGATCTGCGAAAGCAGCTCAAGGAGATCCGAAGAACCATTGAAGAGATGGAAAATATTAAACAAGATAATGAATTGATGGTGGAGATGGCAACTTTGGACAGAGAGATGGCGGAGGAACAAACCGAGGCCTTGAGGGCAGAGTTGGAGGCTGTCAGGGGGAAAGCGGAGGAGCTAGAGATGGAGGTTGAGATCCTGCGCGAGGAGAACGCTGAGCTCAGTGGAGAGATGACACAGGAGGAAAAGACCAGTGCCGGCTGGCTGCAGATGGAGAAGCAGAACGAGCGTTTAAGGGAAGCGTTGCTGAGGCTTCGGGAAATCACTTCGCAAACGGAGACGGAGTTGAAGGATACTATTAAATCTCTAGAGGAGGAAAATACCGAGCTTGCTATCTATAAGGAGAACTTTGAGACCACCAAAGGGAAATTAAATGCCTCAGAGGCTGCGGTTGAAGATCTTAGACAGCAATTGGAAATGGCCGAGAGCGCGGAGCAGATGCTGGAGGATCTCACAGAAAGGAATCTCGTGATGAGTGAACAGGTCGAGGAACTCAAGGCAACCGTCGAGGACTTGGAAAGTCTGAAGGAAATAAGTGATGAGTTGGAGATTAACCATGTCGAAACCGAAAAGCAGATGCAAGAGGAGCTCGACTACAAAGATCTCATTATCACTGAGCAGATCCGGAGAATTGGACAGTTGGATTCGAGTAATGAAGAAGCTGAATACACTATTACTCGATTCAGAGAATTGGTTACGAACTTGCAAGGGTACGCTTTTTGCGCTCTCTAATTGGGTTAGTAAGGTGCTGATGATGATGTGGCTGAAAATAGTGATCTCGAGGATATGAGGGCTTCGCAACAAATTACTGAGACCGAGGCCGAAGAACTGACGCAACGATCGCGGTCTATGATGGACATTAACATGAAGCTCCAGATCACTGCTGCCAAGGCTCAAAATAAGACTATTGATTTGGAGTTGAGACGTTTGGAAGCTGATCAGGCGATAGAGCAACTCTCTATCGTGCAGGTAAGCATCTTGGGTGTCGAGTTATTGGAAGATTTGCTAACGGTGTCAGATGTTCCTTCCCGAAGCCTTCCATTCAGAGCGTGATTCCATCCTGGCTTTGCTTAGGTTCAAGCGTGTCTCGTTTAAGGCTCAACTATTGCAGAACTTTGTTAAAGAACGTCTTACCTCTCAACTTGGACAAGCTTCTTGTGGCCAGGAAGATACCATGATGACCGCTTGTGATATGTGTGACAAATTGACATGGGTATCAGCTATGTGCGATCGATTCATCAACTGCATCAGTGGATGCAGTGTCGCACAGTTCACTAAATTCCAAGGCGCATTGTATGAACTTGACCCCGTTGAGAGGGCACTTAACGGATGGATCGAAGGGCTTAGAAAAGATGATCTTAAGGAGAAACAATGCGTTTCTGAGCTTCAACGGTATGCTCCATTATATATTGGGCTGCCTGAGCTAATTCCAACATGGCGGTGAAGAACTATGTCTTTGATGTCTCATTTGGGCGAGATTCATCTCCAGAGTGATCTTGAAGGCTTTGCAAGTGATGTTCACATGCGTGTCACTTTGATGCAGAGCTATATGGAAAACTCAGCGACTGCTCTTTCCCACATTAGAACAATTGTCCAGGACAAACTACCGGGCACCCCGGAAGAGGACGAAGAAATCGCATCCAACTTTTCCAAGCGATCTGATGCAGTGATTTCCCACTCTCGTAGTGTGAAGGTTGTTGTTGGCAAAATCCTCCGATCTCTCAACGACTTCCAGCAAAGGTCGCTATCTTTGACACAGGATAAGTTCTCGCAGTTCGAGGCCTGTGAGGAGGCAACCAAGAAGCTGGCTGATTATGCTCGTGAGGTTGGTGATGACGTTTACGCATTGCTATACTCTGATAATACTTCTGGTGCTCCAACATGGGTGGATCTTCAGAGCACTCTCTTCAAGACGACAGAAAGAGTTTTGAGGGTTGCTGAAAGCGATATCTTTGGTGCTTTCGGAAAGGAGTTGAGAGCTCTGACAAACATGCTAGTGGAGCTTGGAAGCACCGCTGCGGATATTGATATGACTGCAGAGTGTGGGTTTCCCCACTCCTCACATCCATTTGAACCATTGCTGATCAGATCTTCAACAGTTGAAAAGCCGCCCGCCCCATGGGTAGTAAGGGCGCAGGAGCTTAAGACGACAAAGGTGGTATCAATTGACGCAGAAGAGGAGATCAGACGTTTGAAGGACGACGTTCTCGAACGTGCAACGCAAATAAAACTTCGCGTGCGTGCAATGGCTTCCCTTTTCTTCACGGTTGCAACACTAACAACTTCTAGGACAAAACCCTTGAAGAATCCGCCGTCAAAATCGAACTCCTGGAATCCCGCATGCGTAACGTGACCAAGCAAAGCGAACGCATAGAAGAACTCGAAATGCAAGTCTCAGCCGGCACCGTCCGCGAAGCCGCCTTCTCGGAAGCCCTCAGTAGTCTAAACGAAGACCTAGTGACGTTGGAGGCCGAAGTCGACGAGTGGAAAAAAGCCGCTAACGAAAAACGCGTAGTCGGTGAGGTTGACAAGATCGGCGCCGAGCGCGCAGTTGCGACCGCGAAGGAGGTGGACTCGCTGAAGAAGGAGATTGCAGCATTGACTGGTGCTGTAGCTTTCTTCCGAGAGGAAAACGCTAGGATTAAGAACGCGGACCTGCTCGCTGCCGACTCGTGGCTTCTCGAACCACTACTCTCCCAACCAGACGTGAAGGAGGTGGAAGAGTACGAAACAGACCTGGCAGCCGAAGGCCAGGACGTATTCGCAGAATTAATGCTCTTGGCGACAGAAAGCAAAGTCGTGGACCTTACGCAGACGCCGGAGAATAGGAAGGCGTGGAGACCGGCGAGGAGCACACCCAAATACCACTTTCTGGAGCAACGAGAGCATTACGAATCCCTGGTGTCATGGCGCGACGACGTGATCTCCCGAGCGCTGTACCATGATGCGGCGAAGGCGAGCATTCGCCCTCGAAAGTTGAAGGGCACCAAGAGTGTGTTTGGCGCGAGGGTTAACGTGCTCGTTGACCATGGGCTCGTTGGCAAAGGGGGGGAAGTGGCGGAAGTGGTGATTCACGAGCCGGAGGGGTGGGAGGAGTTTCAAGAGGCAATGGGGTTTTCTTGAGAGGTTGAAGACCGGGGGGGGGGTACAATACATATATGATTTGTGATGCAGGATGAATAGGATGTGGTTGGTGGTGGGGGATACCCTGCGTTTACTTGCTTTTCTCGTTATGCTTAAGTTAATGCTTGGTGCTTGGGATAGTGTTTGGTGTTTGGGTGAGTTGTAGTTTTCTCCTCTTTTATATCGTTTTTCTTCTTTTTCTTTCTTTCTATGATATCTCTCTTCCCAGCTTAACTATTTAACTCGAGTTGATGAAGGAGTTGGTTGTGCATGGGGGACGACAGCGTGTTTGGTTGATAGACCTATTTCTTCAACTGGGGAGGCGCAGTTTCGTATCAGTTATCGATGCCCAATATCCTTCAGTGGTGGTATCATGGATGGATGTTTTGTGAGCAGCGTCTATATGCATCCCGGGGGTTATCCCGCGCACTTCATATCACACAATCCACTATACACTACGCTCCATTTTTTGCACAAGTGTGCTAGGACTTGGTAAAAGAATCGAGCCACCCGTTATCACAGCCCATCACTCGATGTCACTACGAAGTGCCCTCCGCTCCCCGTTGATAACTGGACGGAAGCCAAATCACACTGAAAGTATGGGGTTTCCAAGCTATCGTACTGTTATTTCACGGATTCTCTTACGATGGGCTTTGAAACGGGTCGGAGGAATGGCCGAGTGCCCGGAATACATAACACCTGTTGCCTGAAAACTTCAATCTTCCGTGTGATTCGGGCTCTGTCCCTAGCCCAACTGGGGACGCCTCACTTTTGGGTATTTATGAAATCTTATTACTCCTTGCAGCACGCCAGTCGGTTTTGTCCATTTTCCATTTTTTTTGTTCCAACCCACTCGGGTTCAATCCTGAAAGAGAGATAGCACCAACGCCGGGACCGTGACCTAACTGTGTAATACCACGATCCTAGCAAGCTTGGTTATCGCAGGTTTCCAAGCCCAATCCTCCTCGTGCACAATAATCAATTGACCCCTTGAGAGAATAAAAGAATCGCATGCCCTTGGAGGGGAGGGGAGTGAAGTAGTGGTAGCGGGGGGGGGTTAGTTGGCGAGTGAGATCTACTGGGAAGGGTGGGAGAATACCTTGGAACGTGGATCCTATCTTGACTGCCAGCAGGGGTGGAGCTAACCGGCTAGCTTCCAGCGGCCACTCCGAATTACGGGCCCACATCAAAGCTGCTATCCCAAGTGTCGAGTTATCCCGTTGTGCTCCTGTGTCCGTTCTGCCGTTGCGTCGTGCGCATCTCCGGAACCCAATCCATCTGTCATGAATTGCTCCTGGGATAGATTGTGGATGCCTGCAAGATTGCCTCTATATTTAGGGAACCTAGTAGAAATCTGAATATACAAGTATATCTATCTGTCAGCGGATGTCTTATGGTGGGATTCTCGGCATCATCCCTTCTACGCATATTCCCGAAGTGCTTCTGGGTTTTCTTGAGAATCTGTCTCCAGGTTAAAGTCCGTCGTACCCGGATCTATGTCCCCGTCCAGTCCAACGACGATATCCAGTGGCACCGCCCCCTTCAGGTCCCGCAGACACACTTATCACTCGCCCAACGAGACGGCTTTCGATCCCAGCCCGAATGTGAAATTCTCTAGTCACGAATATTTGAGTGCCCAGAGGTTTCTTGGGGGGGGTGGTTTTCAAACAATCAGGAAGCCCGACTTGATGCTCTACCGGACATTCGTCCAGAGTGCCGATGCACACAGCCGTGCGTTTCAAGGTCGTGAATGGCCCGAAGCACAATGCTGGGAAGCCACTGGCTCCGCCCACCAAGGAGCATTTCCTCCGGAGTATCTTCCAGTCGGCCAATAGTTTGTTCCGGAAGGGAACCCGCGTACGATGACGGCATTTCATCCCCAAGTTGCTCATCACTTGGCGAATTGACATCACGGCTCGTTAGCATTGGCTCTCCTTCCCTCCACAAGGATCGCCCTTATTACCCAATAGGTTTGCTGGCCCTCCGTCCGACCTCCGTGACAAAGTAGCACTTGTACGAGTATTGGGCTACCGGTATCAGATTCATCTTCCCCACCCCCACCGCCCCACCAGCTTCTAAATTCATCGGTTTTCAGGAGCCATCCCCCCTACGTCATCGAGCCGTAGCAATCATGGATGTCCTGGTGCGTAACCGGTAATTCTGGACTCTACTGGTGCCCGAGCAGTAGGGGATAGCCGGACAGGGGTATTAATAATAGAATGACTAATACTTGGATCAAAAGAGCTGGTGTTGTCGGCGGGGGATCGGGACGGGGGTTGACCCCAGCTATTAGTATGCGAGTGGAGTATGATAGCTGGGGACTCGTAGGGGGTAGATTGAGCAGGTCGGTTGAGGGAATTCCTGGCGGGTGGGGGGTTGAACAAGCTCGCCGGCTTGAGGACCAGCGAACCAAACCATCCAAGTTTGTGAAACCGATGTCACCCTGTGGCTAGGTATTTGCGGTTGTCAAAACTACTCGAGTACCGGTAGTAGTATTGATCGAGGGACACAAATTCGCGGTATGCCACGAGTAGAGTAAGTGCGAACCTACCACAACCTCATTTAGCCACGCACAAACGCTTTTAACTTTTCCTCACCCGAGTGCTCATACTCGTAGTACTCAGCGTAGTTCTACCGGAGCGTTTTTCAAAAAAAAGGACCGCTATCGCATACCGGTATTTACTTATCATAACAAAAAATTAGAGCCTTTTTTTTTGTTCTTCTTTTTATTCTTCTTTTTTCTTTTTTCTTTCTTTTGCTCGGATCTGGAAGGTACAGTACTCGTACAGTAATATGCGAAATGCCGCCAGAAACGAAATCAAACGAGGCGTGGAATAGGCTAGCGAGATTTGCGAAGAGAGTCAGACTTTGACGATAATTCCCCCCCCCCCCCCCCCCCCCGACAAGGACCCTGTTTCTGCTTTTTCTTTTTTTTTCTTCTATGATACCTCTTCTAGGGGGAAGGATCTCCTGAAGGGGGCTTTATGATACCTTACCCTCAACTCGCGGGCTGGAAAAAAAATACAGTACGAGTATCCCACACGGAACAAATACCCGCCCAACCCGACCATGCAACACATACTCGAGTAAAACCGTGAACACGAGCCTTACCCCGCTCTATCATTGGTCGACAGCGAATAGCATGGATGGTTAAAAAGTCACGTGCAGCATGTAGTCTAAGTAAGAAATAAGCGCTAGTAACATTGTGATAGTGAGTGATACTCCGAGCATCGCTATTATACCCGTATCATACTATAATACTATATACAAATCCCACCAATGACCGGGGAAGGAAACAGCACGATATCTGTTTTCTTCTTCTTCTTCTTCTCGTTATGATAACACAGTCCTGGAAAAGGGTATCATAGACGATGGATGGGCATGACGAAACTTAACCATCTTCAACTACCGTACCCTACTCGTACCGTACAGTACGAGTACAAGCAAAGTTAACCCCTCCCACCCCCCCCCCCAATCCCAGCAGACAGATGGACAGAAACGGACCGTGTGGAGGGAGAAAAAGAAAAAGAAAAAGAAAAAGAAGAGAGGAAAGGAAAGAGAAGAAGCCCAGAGAACAAGCACAAGCTTGCTATGATAGTTTGCTTTCTACTCGTACTGTAACTCGGCCCGCCCCCCACAACAACACGTGCGGAGGATCTGACATGCATAGACTAAAGGAATCGACCGCTAGGAGACGGAAAGGGCTCGGACCGAAGCATATATCCTCTCTTTTTTTTTTTTCTTTTCATTTTTTTTTTTTCAGTGCCTAGCTAGAGGTTTCGGGGAGGCCTCTACTCCAGTAGGTTAATGTTCTCTTCTGCTCTGGCACGACACTACCCCCACGAATACCAGTGATGATCCGATCGAATTGAACCTCGAGGGCAGAGGAGAGAATAAGTTATAAGTTATCATAGTACTTGTATGATAGTAGGAAATAGGCTAACTAAGGCTGTCCTCCCAAGTATTCTGTCTGCTACGAAAGGAATAGATATATATAAAGAATGATAGTGATAACAGGTAAAGGAGAGGGGGGTAGAGGGTGGTAATCACTGATTACCTGTAACTTATGTGTTTGCTCCACTTGGTGGCACGAACACTTGAGAGTAAAAAGGAAATTACAAAAGGTTATACACTGCTTACATTAACGGAGGGAAGAAGAAAAAAGTAGAGCCAGAGCTAGAAGTAGGATGGGTGAAACTACTACGGTAAATATACCAACTTGACCAAACCCAAAGACAGGAATAATCCCAAACTCCCAACATCTCGCCGGACAATCGCTAAAAAATAAGAATAAAAAAAGGGAAAACCAACAAAAAGCGACGAAAAAAGGGGGCTTCTCTTTTCTTCTTCTTCCCCTCCCCCCCCCTCTCTCTCACTTCCCAGCTGTATTACTAAAACTCTCCGATAAACCCAGGCCTAATTTCCGTCTCCTTCAGTGTCAAAAACCTCTCCCCCTCCCTCCACCCCCCAGTGGCCCTCCCACCACCACCACCACCACTCCCACTAGCAACACCATACCCACTCACCGACCCCACACTCCCCTTCCTACTACTGCTCCTGCTGCTACTCGACCCTCCAACACCATACCTTCGCTCTTCAAGTACGCTCATTCTAAAGTCTGGTGCTTTCCTGCGGAGTGCTGCGTGGGGGTTGATATTCCCGAGAACAATCGGTATTGAGATCTCCAGGTCTTTAGAGATGGATGTCGGCTTTTTCAGCCAGGAAGTGGAGGTTGGAACTGTGACTTGGAGGACGTGGGCTACTATGAAACTCAAGCCGAGATTCGGTGGGAGCAAGGGAAGGTTGTGGTTTATGGAGGAGGCTGGGGTGGTGGGGCTGGGTGTGCTGGAGACCATTGGAGATTTTCCCTTATTGTTGCGATGGGTAGAGGATGGGGGTGAGGATGAGGGGATACCGTCTATCGGACCGATTCTTGGCGCGGGATCGCATGCTGACAAACTACCCAGTGGGAGCGCCACAGTGGGCAGGAGTATGTCACTAATGAAGGTTTTGAAACTTGGTAGGCGAATGCGGATCGGCATTTCGATCTTCTTTCCGCCAAGGAGGTTTCGGTGGGCCGCGGGTTCATCTCCTTTCTCCCGGGAAGTGACGGCGGATTCGGTGCGGTCTGGAATATTGAGGTCCGCCAGCTTCACGTTGCGGATGTTGTCTGGGTGTATGGCGAACTTTCCTCCCGTGAGAACTTTGGTACGCTCCTTTCCGATAACGTTAAGTTTTGGTAGGCTGTCTTCATCGTCATCGCCGGCAGCTTCGTCTTGTATAATGTCCGGATCCATTCTTGCTAAGCAGCGTTTTTCAACTACCCTAATGCCGAAGCCTTTGGGCATTGTATCACCTTCTTTGATAGCAAATTGCATGAGTAGGGATATCTCATCATCCGGCAGAAACCTGGTCTTTTGGAGCTCGATCGTTAGTCTAGCAACAATTTTCCCATCATCTGTCATACAAACCGTCCTGAGGACAGATGTATCGATAGGGCGAGGCTTGTCAATGATAGGCGTGCTATTGCTCGACGCAGTCAACGGGAGCTCTGCGGTTGTCAGGGTTAATTTTGGCTTGGGAACCTTCAAGGGTCCAATGTCGCTGCTATTCGTTGGAGATTCGGCACCGCTAACTGATTTTAACGACGGAGCTGTATCCACGCCCTTCCCTTTCGAATTCTTATCCTTGGAGGGGAATACCTGAGGCAGAAGTCGGGGGAGGGGGGGGAATTCGAGGGCAGGATCGATGTAGGGGATGAAGACGATTTCTAGAGGCTTACTCTTGAACTCTAATATCCGTGATCCGATTGAAGAATTGTCATCCTCGATAGCGGCGGCTTTCGTAAGCTTTGCGACGAACGAGTAGTGAATTAGGGGGCTCGTAGATGTAGGTGGGAGATTGAGATGGGGAAAGTTGAAGCCGAAGAGGAATGTGCGGAATCCTTCCTGGAAGTCTGCGAGTTTTGTGAATCAATTCATGTGCGGTATGGTGAGTGTAGAGTAAGGTGCATGTGGCATACCCCCAGAATGCAGCTCGTGAGAAATGCTAAGAAACGTCGCCCGGTTCTTGTCTACCTCAACAGCCCCCGTGAATGTGATTGTAAGGGTCATGCCGGTCATTGGTTTCTTGATACCAAGAGAAACATTTCCTGAAAACGCGAGACTTGGTTAGACGAGTTCCCCAACAAACAAAGCAATTGCTTCACAGAATCGCGAATCACAATAATCCCCCACCATTGAAAACAGCAACCGGACCAAACACAAGATGTCCACCCTTCCCACCAAGCTCTTCAATCCTAAAGTCCCCCACATGCGAAGATACCCCAGCTCCTCTAAAGCGATTCGCGGCAACTACCTTCGCAGCCACCGCATGCCAAGCTCCCAAAGGTGTCCTGCTATTAGAAACCATGTCGGTGTTTGTTGCGCGACCATGAACACGAGCTGGACTGCTGGTCTCTTTGTTCCCCGGGTCAGGTGTGGTGCTGGATTCCGGATTGGCAGGTGGGAGGATCGTTTCGGGAGCAGTACTTTCTTCTCGTTTTTCTGGAACTGTACTTATTTTAATTGCGCTTGACACGTCGGGCGCAACAGGGTCGGGTAATGTGGGTAGGTCTGGGGTTTGTCCCGGTGGAGGCTGTGCCGGCGGGGAGCGAGGGGAAGACCAAAGGTTTGTGCAACAACAGCAAAGCTTAAAACCCATGACCAAAGCAGTGGTGTCAGTACAGAGAAGTGCGGTGCGGCACACTAAGCAGACAGAAAAAGAATGATCCGAATGACAAAGCGGAGTGAGAAAGAAAAAAAGTATTAATGAATCAATTATCTCAAGCAAGAAGGAGAATTTGCTCGTCGAGTTAGGTAACAGATAAATGGAAGACAAAACACGATTCAAATAAGAGGTGGTATTCGAAGATGTTAATGCTTCTGAAGGGGAAGATGAGGGATGAGGATGGAGTGCGGGATGTGATCAGAAAAACTACACGCCCTCCGCTAGTACACGTAGACGATGAAATTGCCGACCAGGGCACTATGAGCAAATGACGAATGAAGCATGCGAGAACGTTATACAGTAGTCAAGCAAGATCTCCATGTGCTGAGATCTGCAGGGACAACGCGCAACGAACAGCGATAAAGATGGTAAAGCCTCGTCCAGCAAAGACGTCGAGAGAAAGGAAGAAAGGCCAGCAAGTACAGTAGAATGATAAAGCAGGCCACAGTAAGACGAACCAATTCGGGGGCTGAAAGGAATGAAAAAGAAAATAAAAAGAAGCCTTCTCAAAAACATACCGTGCCAAAAGCTTCCAGACCTCCGAGATAACGCCCTTTTTCCCAATGAGGATTGTTCCCTTTCGAGTCTGCCCCGCGAGTTAAGACAACGCAATACGGTATCGCGAGTGAAAGACTACGTGGTGGCAGGAGCGAGAATTTTCTGTGAAGAGGAAAAAAAGCTTCGTCGTCTGTAAAAAGACATCTGCCTGGTCTGTATAGCGTTTTAACTACAGCATCCACCGGTATGTTGGAGTTGAGGCGCAGCGACGGTGAGGTGGCAGTGGCAGTGGTAGAAGAGGAAGCTGTTTGCTCTCAAAACAGGAAATTAGTTTTACGGTCGCCGACCACGGTCCCCATCCAGGCCAAGCGCCAATCAAACCTATCTATCGTCGATAAAGCGTTGAGATACCATGGTTCCCCATGAGTAAAAGTCGATCAACATGGTAGGACTCCTGGTGGGTTGGGTAAAAATTCAAAGGGCTTGGTTGAATTTCTGGTTCCATCAAAAAAAACTGGCGGGGGGCGGGATAGCCTCGCTTCATGTTCATCTTCTTGGCGAATGCCGGGTAACTGGCTCTGCTTTGTCCACGCTGAACTCAGGTACTCAGGTATGATACTGGTGGATGCAGAGTCGTCAGGTGCCTATCCCCCGACACCGCTGAAATACTAATCCGATGCCTGTGAATAAATAAGAAAGACTCGTAGAGCCGAATGTCGTGGAATACCGGTATGCAGGTCGAGAGGGCTCGCGATTTATAGATGAGCCACTCGATGGACTGCCCTCCGCAACGATTTTCATACGAGTATACATTTCGGATCTCACTTCTTGCATCGTGGGGATGCAGATAAGAGACAGAAGCAAAGGCGACATGAGAAAATTTTGCAAGAGTGGTTGCACGTACTGTACTCGAGTACCGTACTGTACAGTACCGGTATCCCCTGGCAAGCCCTGTTGGACTACTTATCATATTTGACAACATGCTTCTCCAACGTTACACCTGTTTCATTGTCAGCGTTCTATGTGTGTCAACTGGGCTTAACAACTTGCTCTGTGATATTTGGGGGTTAAAATCCAGTCGCCGGCTGAGCTCTTCTCGTGCGCTGGGAATATCACCGCGTAGCTCCTATTGGTTACCGTAGGTTGGGATGGAGGTTTTTATGTGTTGCACAGACATGAGTGCGGGGTTTGAGATCTCTACTACTTCGTCCCGAGCTCAAGAAGGATGCCGTTGCATGCCTATGGCACCACATTAGTGACACACTTGTGCGCCTCGAGCGCTTGAGCCCAGGAACTACCGCACTGGCAGTCAAGAAAAACTCTGGCAGCAGTCACTACCCAGCTGCTAGCATAGCGGACCCCTAGTACCCGCTTCGAGCAAACCTTTGTCAGGAACTCGTATCATACTGGCAGAGGAAGAAAAAATGGGGTACCGTAAAAACTTGAATAATCGAATCAAGTGTTATGTCGTTGGAGTTGCCTCCTCTGGTAAGGTCTAGTGTTGCTGTTTTTTTTTTTTTTGAAGCGTCTTTGGTCACTTTTTCCAAAGTAGGGAATTCTCTACAATGATACCAGTACTCGAGCACTCGAGTACCGTGCAGTTACACTCCGTTATGCCGGAACTCGATAACCTGGGTCTGATACAAGTTCCTCACTGCCCGTATGAGCCTCTATGAGTCCGTATGCCAGACTGGCAATGTCCTTTAGTTAGCTAAGCATGGACCAATTGAATTTGAGTCCCAAGTTTCTTTGCGCCAGGGCGTGACCTGTTGTCCTGGATCACCCACTGCGCAAATTCTCTAGGTTTTGACCATCCAGGATAGCGCAGTGTGATTGTGCATATAACGTGGTTCGATTGCGGTAGTGGAGCTGAGACTGCCCAGAAAAGTTCGATTACTATTTGGCGGAATGCCGTGATTATATGCGCTCGAACGGTTTAGCTTTTACCCCCAACGCCCCCACACGCCCCTACGAGCCCAACCCGATAAAGAATCCATCCCGGGTTGCTGTTCGAAGACGTGCCGGCCAAACGCCCTCACAAGGGATCACTCGCTACTTTATGCTGCGCGAGTTTTAGCTCCTTGTACAGCACTCGAGCACTGTGCAGTGCCGGTAGTTGTGTTTATGTAGAAGCAAATTCACCCCAAGGCGCAACCCAGCCATGGGGGTCCCCATCTGGTATGCAAGGTCGTATTTGCAATGCCATTGGTTATACTTATAAATGGGCCTTGGATTGTCCGAGCAGATCGATGAAATTCTAAGATCAGAGATCCCGATACACCGCTCGCCAGGCGTGGCCATGGCTCTCGTCGTAAAAAAGGAAGAAAATGTCTTTGAAAATCACTCAATGCTTGTCTCTCCCCACGATGTCAGGGATCGTACGTCAAATTCTTGCCACACACCGTCTCTTGAACCACTAATACTTTTGGGGCTAAGGCTGGGCGCCAAGCCATGAATAACATAACGGGAGCGAGGCTTTTTGATGTCCGTTGCTCGAGCGGTGACATCTGAGTTTAAAACCTAGATTTCAAGGAGAGGGGTAGATCGTGGTACCTCCGGTATGCGCATGATCGATTTCTAGGCTATCCCCTGGAGCCGTGCCATTGGTTTCGGGCACAAGGGGCACGGGGGGGCCGAGTACCGTATGATAGTGCTAGTACTCGTACTATATATCATAAACTTTGGGTGAAGTTGGAGGGTTGGTACCAGGCTAGCAGTACTAGTACATGCCAAAACAAGAAGTCTGCCCCCTTTTGCCTAATTAGGTCGCTTCACCGCGCCTTGTTCGAAAGAGCTAGACTCACCTCTCAGTTCGAGTACGAGTACTTCCTAGCCATTCTAAAGACACCGATCCCTAAGGATAATATCAACAAGATTCTCACGGCAGAACGAGAGTGACCGCGGGGTCCCCATCTGCGGTTATGCCTGGGAGAAATATTCTTTTATTTTCCGCGAGTAAACACCGGGGACATAGTTCGGCTGTGAAGAGAGAGATGATTGTATCTGCCCGAAAAATTGGTAGAGTGGTGTTACCAACTCAGAAACAGTGTCAGCCATGTTTGCTTCATCGCTCCATTGTAAACTCTGGGATACAAGACGCTTTGTGGAGTTATCAATGATCTGTCAAGTCCGGCTGGCTCGACTAGCATAGACCATGGGCTGCATGCACGGGTACGGCCTACCTGTTGGGGCTCGGGCGATAGGTGAGATGGAGTAGAAAGTCTTGGGGTCTCGATTGGCCCATTGACAGGTGGGAAGGGTGGTACGATACGGTTTCTTTCTTCCGCAATGGGTTACAGGTACTGTACGAGCATGATATAGTATCATCATAGTCTATGATACCGGTGCGATATCGTACTTGTGTATCATAGTACAGGGCGGGTAACCCTCACCCTGATATCGGTGCGGTTGCATGAGGGTCAAGGGCAAGTGCGAAACAGTCCTATTCCTGTGCTCGAGTATTATAATAATATTATTATGATACCGGTATGACACTGGCAGCTGGTATCATATCATACTCCTACCGTATTATAATGATAATATTAAGTTAGTACTGTCCTCGTGCCATAAACCAAACTATAACAAAACAAAAAGAGTGTATTGATTTCTGGATGGGAGAGTAGGGTACTCTCACGGGATTGCTTAATGTCTTAATGTCAGCTGTGTGGTACAGTACAGCGAGTGACATGCGAACGGGACAGGTGATGTGGGGTGCAGAGTTCGGAAAATCTCCCAACATTCCGGCAGCTACGAGCAAAGATCGGAAACTGTGATATTACTTCAATAAAATTTATTTATCCTGGCATCGCGGAACCAGCGTAGAGCCAGGTTATATGTGATATATGAGCTAGTGAACTGGAGGAGTGGGGGGCACGATATGATAATAAAGTAGCTTACCAACATCTATTTGAGGGGGGGGGGTTTCACTTTTTCCCTTCCCATCTCTTTCCAGCCTTTTGAGTACGGTAGGTGATATGTGGTTGGGGTTTGTTTTCAATGGATATTGTACGGTGCATTACCTTGAATTTAAGGGAGCACATAAATATTTACCCCCCGTGTCGCTCGAGAGCAAATGATGGGTGCCAGTCACAGGAGAAAGGGGAATCTTCGGATCGGTTGAATGCATATGCGGTGTTTCTGGACTGCATAAGTTAAATGCAGCCCGTCTGTGGACTCTTCCATCCGAACAGTTCGAGCGACGTCTCATCCCGAGCCCCCCCCAAAAAGACTCCGAATCACCCCGGACGGAAGAGTCCCCTCCGAAGAATCATTTTGCTCAGTATTCATTCACCACTCATGCTATTTGACAAAAAAATCCTTTTGGCTTTTTCGCCTTGTTGTGACGGCCTTTTAATTGACGTGATGCCAAGTCGCAGTAGAGCATCGAGATGAACTCCAGTCCACGTTGGAATGTGGATGCTCAAACTTTTGCATGCAAGTTGAGACAGGTCCCCCGTCAGACAGCAAATCCCTGCACCTGCCATGATACTTGTGTTACCCTCCCACGGCGATCACTCTGGCCAGGCTATTTTTTTTTTTCAGGGAGGCCTTGGTGATTGAACGGCGTTCAATAGCTACCAATAGATCTGGCTTTATGTCACTTAGCCACCCAACGACCTGGAAAGGGGAGAGGCTCCAGCTCCACAGTTATTGATTGTTGGACGTTGAGGTTTGGGAGAAGGGATTCGCCAAGGACTGCATCTGCCCTGACATCCCACACCATTACCTCGACTTGCACTCGAGTGGCTTGGCCGCATGACTCGGTGATTTTCCATCCCTTTTTCTTCCCTCTCTCTTTCCCCCACCACATTCCCAAGTCCTCAAAGAAACACCGCGAGTATCATACACCAAGACCAGGCACACTCTCGACGGCTGTCTATGTCTCACCTTGCTCGCTCGGCTACCCGCAGAACCCGGAATATTATATATAATAGCCAATAATCTCTCTGATCCGACGCACGTTCCAGTTACAGTACGAGTAGTGAGAGGGAAGACCTTGAACTCGTTTTCTCTTGGTTCTGTAACACACAGCTGTGAGTCGGTGGACACCCGTACTCGAGTACCGTACCGTACAGTATTGAGCATACTATTCCAAGACCAAGCACTGCACTGTATAACCCCTGTACATTCCGGAAACGTATAATAAGCTCTGGGGAGAAAAACAAAAATAATAATAAAGAATAAGGTCACACTAGGAAGTACGAGTAGTTCCTAGACTCTGACACCCCCCCCCCTAATCCCCCCCCTCTCACCGTGCTAGTGTCCGGTCCATAGGGGTGGCCAGCGCCACAAAAAACTGCCCACGGAACCCGATCTACCACCAGCAAACTCCCTCCCCACACCTCTTTCACCCCCACTGCCCGTTCTAGCTATAGTTCTTTTCCTGCGCTACCGGGTGCAGGAATTGTTTATAAGGTAGCCATAGCTTCCCTACACCTACTATCCGAGCTGGATCCTACGACAGGAGGCGAATCTTTCCAGCTTCAGGATCTACCACAATTACGCGAGTCGAGAGAGCAAGCTAGGAAACAGCTCGAAAAGCAACTTCGCAAGCAACGCCGGGACGACGACAAATTTTTCACCAGGCTTGACCAAGCGGAGAGCGGTATGAAGTTCTCTCACAGTATTCAGTTCAATGCTGTGCCTGACTGGAGCTCGCACTACATTGCCTATTCAAATTTGAAAAAGATGTTTGTTCTCCTTCGCCGTTTCCCCTATTTTCCCCTCGTTACTGTTACCTTCCCAGGACCTCCGGGATTATAGACTGACCCTTTGAGCAGCATTTACCAACTGGAGAAGAGTGTCGTCCGAGCTAGCTCGCGAGATGACACCGAGGAGTCCGCCCTCATCCCTAATGCGAGAGAACCTGCTGTCGATACCGATTTAGTCTTTCGACGGACACTCGACCGTGAGCTTGAGAAAATCTCTTCTTTTTATAATCTTAAAGAAGATGAGCTTCTCCGAGAGGTCTACCAGCTTTCCGCCGACGCCGAGTCTTTCGAGGAAGGAAGGGATGCCGAGAGTGTGACCGATTCACAGCTTATTGGAGAGAGTGGTAGGCGGAGGTACAGCTTGGGCGGTATGAGTGGAGTATTGCGAACAAGGAGCAGTCTTGATGAGCCCACCGACCGGGAAGATGACACAGATGATGACGAGGAGGAGGGACAGCAATCTGGAGCTGGAACTGGATTGCTGTCGAAGTCGAAGAGAGGTAAGGGCTGGAATAGCAATATGGAGGGCTCACACACTAGTCACGTATCGGACAGTGGGTTATTTCAGCGACGCGCATCACAAACCTTTGATGAATATCATGGCTACGCTGTAGGAGACTTATGCGACAAACGAGTCATGTTGAAGAAACGAACCATTTCATTATTCGTTGCCTTGAGAGAGCTGAAGAGTTTTGTCCAGCTCAATAGGACAGGGTTTGTGAAAGCATTGAAGAAATACGACAAGATTCTCAACAGAGGTCTCAAGTCACAGTATATGCAGGGTGTGGTGGAACCTTGCTATTGTTTTCGACCTGAAACTACAGCAGAGTTGGACAAGGCTATCGGAAAGGTCGAGGACATATATGCGTCGCTTGTCACGGGCGCAGACTTGGATGCAGCGAAACGAGAACTTCGATTGCATCTTCGTGAACATGTCGTTTGGGAGCGCAATACAGTATGGAGGGATATGATTGGTATTGAGAGGAAAGCCCAAGCAGCAAACATGGGAATTCGACGAACGTTGCTTGGCGATACTACGGACCCAACAAGGTCAAGGCTGACAGGTGACGAGCCTGAGATATCTGTAACTAAAGAGTTGGAAACACCGGTTGGAAAGATAAAGTATTCCACTTGGGTATTCAGCGGCGGATTCTTCGTTCTTGTGGCTCTTTTGCTAGTTTTCACGGTCCTATTGCTTGTTCCCATGTTCCCTTCGCCTGAGCAGCAGAATTGCCTTGCGATGCTAGTGTTTGTGTCTCTCCTATGGGCCACTGAGGTATTTTATCCGATGAGCCCTAGAACTGTGATTGTGTTGGGTGTTAATTTCTTACTTTTAGGTTATCCCGCTCTTTGTGACATCGCTTCTTGTTCCGTTCTTGGTTGTTCTGCTTCGAGTTGTGCGCTCGGACCAGAAGCCGCATGTTCGACTGGAGACAAAGGAAGCCACTAGATATATTTTCTCGGCTATGTGGACCCCTGTGATCATGTTGTTACTAGGCGGGTTCGCGATTGCTGCTGCCTTGAGCAAGTACGGGATCGCAAAAATGCTGGCCACTGTCGTATTAAGCAAAGCGGGTACTAAGCCTAGGACAGTTCTATTGGCTAATATGTTTGTGGCTATGTTCGCAAGCATGTGGATTAGTAACGTTGCAGCTCCAGTTTTGTGCTTTTCTATCATTCAGGTAATCTTCCTTGAACCGTTATCTGCTTTGGGTATTCAGGCTGATTAGTTTGGATTTAGCCTATGTTAAGGAACCTGCCTTCTGAATCCAGGTTTTCCAAAGCACTCATCCTGGGTATTGCTTTAGCGTCAAATATTGGTGGCATGGCTTCACCGATCGCAAGTCCGCAGAACGTCATTGCTTTGCAGAACATGCGACCGGCTCCTAGCTGGGGCGCTTGGTTCTTTGTGGCTTTGCCAGTGTGTATTTTGTCCATTCTCGTGATATGGGCATTACTCTTGATATCGTTCAACCCTAGCAGGGGAACAACCATTGTTCCTATCCGACCTGTGAGGGACAAGTTTTCTGGTGTGCAATACTTTATATCTTTCGTCACCATTGTAACTATCATTTTGTGGTGCTTCTCACATCAGCTTGAGCATGTATTTGGGGATATGGGCGTCGTCGCCATTATCCCTCTTGTACTCTTCTTCGGAACCGGTATCCTTACCAAGGAAGACTTCAACAATTTCCTATGGACCATTATCATTCTTGCGGCTGGCGGATTAGCTTTGGGCAAAGCCGTGAACAGCTCGGGGCTTTTGCATGCCATCGCACAGGCTATCAAAGAGGAGACACAGGGTATGGGTCTTTATGGAGTGCTTGTCGTTTTTTGCGCCTTAATCTTGGTCATCGCAACGTTTATCAGCCATACCGTTGCTGCACTGATTATTCTGCCAATCGTTGCCCAAGTTGGTGCAAGTATGGAAGAGCCACACCCGAACTTACTCGTTATGGTATGCCTCGTCGCGATTTACCACTTGCCAGGGGTCTAGTAAACTGACTCATTGGATAGGGCGCGGCTTTGATGTGCTCTGCTGCAATGGGTCTCCCCACCTCTGGTTTCCCTAATATGAGTATGTGGATTCTTGTCCTTATCCTTTGGGTTGATTATTTGTGTGCTGACTGGGGGAAAAGCGGCAATCATGATGGAGAATCCACAGACAGGCCAGCGATACTTGAGAGTCCAACACTTCATCAGTCGGGGCATCCCAAGCAGCGTGTTCTCGTTTCTGATCGTCATTACGGTAGGCTATGGCTTGATGCTCATCGTTGGGTTTTGAAGGGGTGGATTTCTAGCAACAGGAGTTCTCACAGGCTCCTTTCCGTTTTTCTGTTCCCAATTCACGGGATGTGCATTCCTTCAGTTTTTAGGTCATGCATATTTACGGACGAGTTGAACCTAGGATGTTTTTGCCCTTTGCTATTAATTTCTTATCTATGCTGCCCCTTGTGTATATCTTGGATTCTACGGTAAAGACGGTTTTTATTTTCATTTTTATTTATTTATTTATTAGCGTTGCATGAAGCGGTTAAGTTGTATTGTATGGTGTGAAAGAGCATTTTTATTTCTTGGGGATATATTGTCCTGCTGTTAATCTCTGATTGCGTTTGGTGGATGTCGCATCATTTGACGAATTCACAATACTAGAATCGATGATTAAATTTGCTCTTCGAGTTCAAATTTCGTTAGCTGTGGGTGTGTCGGCCTTTGCACAGTAAAGTAACAGTACAAGTAGAGATGCCAAGAGGACGTATGGGCCAATGATTGACAGTGTATGTTTTCCACCCCTTGAGGAACATTAGCTATCCCACACTGGTATTACTGTATACAGTAGATTGTAAGGGGCCACGCCAAGATATCCGCTAATCAAAAAGAATCTACGAGTACTATATGGACTGTTTTAGCTAGCGTGTTATCCATCGTACTCGAGTATTGCACTCAAACAAAGCTCAACCTCTAAGCCTCCTCCCCCGGAGGCTGGTAGCACAGGTTGCAATACAAACCATTACTCTCGAAGTCCCAACAACTCACACCCCTCCCCCTCTCGCCCCAGTTCCCTACGCGTATCCGGAGACAGTACTCCTGCTCCGATGAGAACCCCCTCCCCATGCCTAAGCCTAAGTCCGGGAGAAGAAGAAGGAAGTTTGCTTCGCCGGAATAATTCGGGTATCATTTGTGGATGTTTCTTCTTCGGAACCTTTCCCCCCCCTTCAGAGGATATCGTGCCACGGGTGCTGGGGGTTGTGGGGGGCTGGAAGATGCGTTACCGGACTAATGGAATATTATATAGTACACCTGCATGGCTTCCTGAGCGGGGGGGGGGGGTTGCGAAAATGGAGAGCATAGTCGAGAGCCCTTTAGCTATAAAGACTCCGTCCCCAGTATCATACCGTTATTGGCAGTATGATGGCAACAGCAGGAGAGAAAAAACCCCAAGAAATGGACCTATGGATGGGTGCGCTATAATATCATACATAGCTCCACTCCGCAACATTTGCCGAAAGGCGCTCGCCCCTCAGGATGACGAATGGGCAGCGAATATCCTCCGCCGTATTTGTAAAGACCTGAGCTCACCCGGCAGTGCTAGGTTTGCTGATATGATACTATACTCCGCCATGCTAAGCACTGCGCTTGAACTCATTTTTATGCCCGTTGACTAAAAATTTAATAGTAATTTCAAACCCATGCTAAGCCATTTGTCCCTATCGTGACTTATACGAAGGGATAGGTGCTTAATCGCCATGTCTGGTCCTTGTATACATACAGCTGCATTTGCAAAATTCTCGTATGATACCCTTCCGGATACCTCGGCCTTTGGAAACAATTTGCTATACCCCCCCCCTCCCCCTCCCCCTCCTATAAATCCGACAAAACAAATTGCGATAATCAATTGAGATGGCTGGAAGGTAGGACCCATGCGGTTGAACTTCGAGTGGGGTTGAGCCTGCGCGTTTTCTACCTCTACTCGAGTACTCGAGTATTCGGGATGGGGGTGTGAAGACCTCGAAGGGTGTGAAAGTATCATATAATACCAGGAATCACAGGCGCAGCCGCTATGTGAAGGGTTGGAACCATGTACGAGTAGATTATGAGGGGGTTACTCAAAGTGAAGAAATATTCCAGTGGCTACTGTATGCGGGGCTTCTGGTCCGTCGTGAAGTATTGCGCTGGAATATATTATTGTTTATTGTAGAAACTGTGAGGTGAATAGGTGGAAGGAGCGTTTACAAAAGTCAGAACTATTATAGGAATCTCCATAAAAATACACCAAGGAACCGGCAATGGGGAACCTCAATTCTCTTTGTTGGTGTGTCTGCCCGTATCTTCTTGTGGGCGATTCGCCTCTATGTTCGATATATTATGATATCACGTCTTTTTCCCCTTGCATTACCCCGAACACCATTCCTTCTTCTACATCCGACCCTAACCTTCCTAGATGCCACGCCCTTACTTCCCCCCCAAACCTACCTCCTTACACTTCGCACACTAGTTTACACCATACAGTATTCTAAAAGTCCGCAATGAGGACGAGAGGTTAAATCCGGCTGCTTCTACCCCACCTTCCGATAGACCCCCCGCAAGAGCTCCCCAAAAATCCCCTTGGGGAACAGTACCTTCCCCGCAGCAAATGTCCCAGCCAGTTTTTTCAATCTCGTATCATTATCGGACAGGGACCAATAGGAATCAGCAATATTTCCCGTCTTCTTCATGACTCCAGCCCTCCCGTCGGAGGGATTCGACCGCATTACCAAAAAACCTCCGGTGATACTCCAGCATTCAGATAATCCACTGTTGAAGGTTATATCCACGCTGAGGATCAGCAGAGAAAGAGGGGATACGGTACGAGTACTGTACTCCGGTTGTCATCCCACCCCTCCGTAGATCCGTCGATCAGGAGCAAGTGGAAAGCTTGGCAGCTTCTATAGGAATCTAAGAATTCGATACAGTCCTTTCGTGGATTCCCAGTTTTTGGGATCGGCATTGTGGCGGTGGATGGGAAGGGTGGATTTTCGGCTTATCATTTTCTTAAACCTTCACCTGCTTCGTTTCGGGGGTCTCTGGTTGATCATTCCTTATCGGATGTCACCGATAGTGCTTGAAGGGTTTTCGACTCTACGAGTACAAGTGGTTGCGGGGGCTTTGGTGGGTCCCTTATTTTCTCGGTGAGCCTTGGTCGTGAACGGATCTGATATAGTGCTCAGGCTCGAATCAAAGAGATATCATACTCGAAATTCTTTCACGGCGGTGGTCACCCCCGTCAACAATGGTGCCTTCTCGACGATGAAGAAGTGAAAAGGAGTACGACTTCTTGCTGGAAAAAGTAATAATAAACAAAATAGAGTAAAACATGGTAGGAGAAGAAAAGAAAAAGTTCGATTTGGGTGGTGGTCGTCGCGGTAGCAGGCAGCAGTGTGGCTGGCGGGGTAGGATGGCTGATGAGTAGCAATCAGCGTTGGCCACTCATTTCGAGTATTCAATTCGAGCCCGAGCAGCAGGAAATAGGTGATACGGGGGCAAGAAGAAAGGCCCAAGGAGGGATGTCTTGGGAAGTCCCCAAAGTCGGATATGTGATTTCGGGTGAGAGTACGTGATTTGAAGGTCCTGCGGAAATGGCGAACGGGTGAACTGTTTGGGTGGAGTGCTCACCACCCTCCATTCCTGCGAGAGTTCCGGTTCTCACACCTGCTTGCTAACTAAATTGGATAGATTGAGTATTATACCCTAGTTACATTCCACTCATCCGTTTGGCGTCTAAGACCAACTCCCGTAAACGAACGAGAGAAACATCCACACCCCATGGCACAATTACCGAAGCCCCAACATCCGTATACGATATCGAATGCACATCCAGCGAGATCCATCCTGCAGCACATAAAACGTCTTACGGTTCTGATACCAGCCCAACTCAACAGCCTGCCCCAGACAGCTCCGTTCCTAAAAAAAAATACCTCATCGCGCCCAGGATACCCCTCCCCATCGTCTCTAAGTAGGATATCCCGCAAACGGCAGCTGCCAGCTACACACATATATGCTACAGACCCCACACACCCAGCGCCCCTTAACGCCGAAAAAACGGATAGAACGGGGCCCCCTATGGTACGACGACTCCCGCCCTCCTTCGGTGATTAGTGCCTCTTCTCCGTTGGCCGCCGGCGATGCGGGAGTGGACGTCATACATCGCTGTGTGGGATTTATGCCTGTGGCGGAGGCAAAGACGGAGGAGAAGAGAACTTTGCGAGCTTTCGTTTGCTTTGTTTCTTGGGAGGATTTTCTGCTCCACCATTGAGAGTAGAATATTGGTGGCGGCGAAAGGTGGGTATATAAAGCTTATTGAAAGCTCCTGTTTTTAGCTGATTGAGTTCTTGGCTATCTGGGAATTGGGGGATTTGGTTTGGTTGGGTTGAGGGGGTTGATGTTGGATGGGAATTCGGTGGACGATTCGTGGGGGACTTGGGTGTTACAGAAACCTTCAATGATCCGAATCACGCCAAACACGGAAAAACGTTTCTCCACCTCCCCAGCCACTTGTGGGGAAGAAATGCTGATAGGGTACCGGTTATCGGTGTTCAGCAAGGATAACTAACGACTAACCCACACATCGAACGGTCGCCCACAACACCAACCTCATCCCATCCGGTCTCTTAATACTAGCATCCCCTCGATCTACGCTCGAGCGCGTTGTGAATGTTGAAAGTCCGAGGGAGAAGATATGGATACGTAGTCAGAAATTGCATAGGTGACGGAAATTTTCGGATTTTAGCTTGGCATCTTGGCATTCTGGGTATGACACATGTCGGGGATGGTAAATACTTCAGGGGTAAATATGATCACAGCATATCATATCAGATGATCAGATCGCGCACTTTGATGAGATCAGATATCACTTCTCGGCGAAACTGCTCGGTACATATATGATGAATGATCACAATCACTCAGAAGAAAACTTACTAGCACAATCCCGCTACCACCACTGCACAAAAACTCAACTACAGTCGAAACGAACACCACCCATAACCGACAATCAAGCAACCAAAAACGAATGCTCTCCCGAACTCACCTCCTTCGCCGCCGCCTTCTCCTCGCCATACCGACGAGCCGACCCTACAGCACCCTAAAATCAACCCCCTCGCCTCCTCGCCTCCCCCCGGAAGCCCAAAAGGAATTCGAGGCCCTCCAAAAAGCTGCGCGCGACTCCTTCAAGACTTCCACTTCTCCAGCCGCCCCGGCGGAGGCTCATGTGAAGGTGGAGGACATGTTGCACCCAGACGTGAGGTGTGGGGCGAAGCCGGAGTTTGAAGGGGATGTTAACCCAAAGACAGGGGAGAGGGGTGGGCCAAAGAATGATCCGCTAAGGTATGGGGATTGGGCATTCAATGGGAGAGTTAGTGATTTTTGAGGCCGGGGGGCGGGAGGGTATGATAGAGATGGAGGTAGCGTAGACGGGGTCAGGTTAAGAAATTTGGGGGGAGGAAGAAGGGTGGAGGTGTGCTGCGCTATGCTGTGCTGTGGTGGTATCGTGATGGATTGGAACGGGTCCGACTCGGCTCAATTCAAGCACAAACAAGTGCGCTACTACTTTTGCGCTGTGGTCTATTATGGAAGGAGGGGGCTTCGGAGTTGTCTTCTGATTCATATGCTCTGCCGCTGATCTCCCAATTGTACTGTAAAGTAGCTTCCTCACTCTCACACCGCCTCATTATTTTCTCCTCTTCTCAAAAAATAAATGAGTCTATCAAGGCAAGGCATCTGCCGTCCATCGACCGTCAAGTCACAAAAAGGACATTGTGCCTACTCTGCACCATCACCAAAACCACATCCAAAATCAAAGCGCGCGTCACATCACCGAAAGGACCGAAAAGCATTGAAGGAATGTGTGCTATATTTTCCAACCAACCCCTAGTCCATCCATCTATAAACCCCAAGGAGATAAGTCTAACACAGTCAATGAAAGTATAGATAGATAGTAATATCTCAGCAAGATATATAAATATATGAGAAAAACCACAACGCTTTTCTTTCCCTTCATTCATGCACTCTCGTTCATCGACATCGTCGCATCCCACAAGACAAGTGGGTAAGTAGGTACCACTCCTCTCTCGTCAAGAAAAAGAAGCCTGAGGTACAAAAAAAAGCGAAAACAGGAAAAACACCATTAATTTTGACACCCAGAAGGAATAAAGAGGGAAAAAAATACGAGGAATAAATAAAACGCTAAAACGCTAAACCCACGAGGAAATGATAGGTAGATATCGGGGTGCTCTTTTCTAGAATCAAAAAAACTGGCAAACACCGTTCCCCCGATAAAGAAAGAACGTGTGCCAGCACCGATTTTTGGACGAAAGTAATTAATACGAGGATATTGTGTGTTGTTAGGCTTCTAGCTAACGGTTGTTTAAAGGAGGGTGGTGGGGAAGAAATATGAAAAATATTAAGCAAAGAAAAAAAAGATTTCTGGATAATCGGAAAGGTTTTCTTTTTTTATAACCTGCTCCCATCGCTTCGTCTGTGCGCCATCAAGGCAGTTCCGACCTTTGACTCGTTCTTCCGACCGAGCTTCTTGGAGATCCAGTCGCCGATTTCGACAATCTTGTCCAGGTCCACGTTGGTCTTGACGCCAGTTCCTTTCAGGCTATTTGAGACACGTTAGCATTGGCTTGGCTAAAGACGGAAGATGAAATGGAAGGGGGAGACGAACAAATAGACCAAGTCTTCTGTCGCAACGTTGCCGGTAGCACCCTTGCTGTATGGGCAACCTCCCAGACCCGCGACGCTGCTGTCGAACGTCCTGATCCCGGCTTCCAGAGCCACGAGGCAGTTTACAATTGCCTGGCCGTATGTATCGTGGAAGTGTGCTGCCAACTTCTCGGCAGGTATACCACGGTCCTTGATCAGGTAGTTCACCAACGTTCCGATGGTACCGGGGGTGCCGACACCGTTGGTGTCGCCGAGCGATACTTCGTAGCAACCAAGGTCCAAGAGGCCCTCCACCACTTCGGCTACCTTCACGGGCGATGTAGGGCCGTCGTAAGGGCACTCAATGATCATGGATACATAGCCGCGGACCCTGATGCCGTTCTCCAAAGCCTTCTGTACGACGGGCCGATATCGCTCAAGGGACTCAGCGATGGAGCAGTTGATGTTCCTCTGTGAGAAACCCTCGGATGCGGAACCGAAGATGGCGATTTCAGATGCGTGTTCTGAGGCGGACACTCCAGTGTTTGAGGAGTAGTGGATGAAGTTTGTGAGCCCCTTCATGTTGGGCGTGAGGTATGAGTATGTTACGCCTGTTGGCGCAGCTGGTGGATTTGATCGAAGGTGTTTCATGATTTCGGGCGTGTCCGCCATTTGTGGTACCCATGATGGACTTTTTTCCGGGTCAGCCCGGAGCCGCCGCCAAACCCTCCAAGGACAGGGATAAAATACCTAACAAAGCTTCCAGCTTCAATGTGTATCAAGCCTGCCGAGCTCAGTCTCTCTATGAGCTCGATTTTAGTGTTTGTGGGCACTACTCCCTTTTCGTTCTGGAGCCCATCTCGCGCTCCAACCTCAACGATCTTCACAACGCCGGAATGCTTGGACAAAGGATGGTCGACGGTCATTTTGTGTGTATGCTTTTCGGTAGTATTGTTTGTGGGGGTATATGTGATTGCAGAAGTGCGTGCACCGGTTGTGGTAGCGGGGGAAGAGGCGGTAGAAGTAGTTGCTGTAGTATTGAATCTTCTAGATGTTGATTTAAGGTGCGAAGGAGCGTGGGAATAGCCGAAATTCCGTGAGTGCTGATAGCAGATGTGTCTTGTGCGAGATAAAAAGGAGAGTTGTTGCAGCTTGTGCTTTGATCTGGAGATGTGCGGCTTGAGTGAACGAAAAAGAGGGGATGAGGAGTGGAAACGGCGGGCATAATAAGGACGCAAAGATCCTGTTCGCAACACGTTATTCATGCTCCAAGCGATTGGATAATGATGTATGCGTCCTTCGGCCTTTGTAGAAATTCTAGAAGCTCGCGAACAGGTGGCCAAAATAGCAATGACCAGGATAGTTCTCACAATACAATAGTCTAGCGGTCGATGATGGGTGTTGTGCAACCCCAAGTATTCCCGCAAAACCGGATGGGATGCTCGTCCTGCTGCAGGGACTCAGTCCGAGCACCACACTATGTGTGCTCTTTCCAAAGACGCCAACCGGTATGCAGATGAGATGGCGGTAGCTTCCTAGCAGGGGTGCAAGTATACTCGAGTAGTGGAGTGGAGAATGTCGGTGCCAGTTATCGTAACGGGAAAAGGGATACGGTATCGATTAGGCACGATAAGGGAGCGATAGTGGGGTGTGTGCAAGAGTGTGTGGGTTGGCTAATACGGTGGGGATGCGGAGGGGAGGAAGAGCGTGGGAACACGGAGAATACCTTGGGGTACCAGTATTGTGTCCCCTTCCTCTCGCCGGATATCGTCAGGATTTGCAAACACCTCTTCCCACTCCCCTGTCGAGAGGGTAGAATACCGGTATTTACCCAAGAAGGATGCTGGTTTAGCGATGCCTTCCCCTTATTTTTCTCCCTGTCACTCGCTTTCCCGGTATTTCGATATTCCACCAATAGGAGGAGGGTTTCGTGCGACCGAGGGAGGTTGTCGGTAGGAACTGGGTGGGATGAAAGGGGAAAGATGGAAGACGAGGGCTTTTTGAGGTTTACTCGGTGCCTATAATCTTTGCAGCTCGGCCAGTGTGAGGGATGGAGTAGACTTGGAGGGGGGGGGATACCGTAGATGAAGAGAGTTGGTTGAGGATGTTTGTTTGCTGTGATAAATAAGCTCGGTTGTGTTTTACAGTATGATACGATACCGGTATGCCCCCGCCTTCTGGTTCCTACGAGGATGACGGTTGCTACAGAGCTGACGCCTGAAGATGTTGGGGGGCCGCCATACCAATACCGGCGCCGGGATCAGTATTCGTGCCGGGTCTGTGAGACGAAACACACAACAGGATCAGAGAATGAATGAGCAAAGACCAATGCAACATATCTCCCAACACTTGTTGTGATGCATGATAAACAAGTCCTGCTATGATAACATACGGTATTGCTTTCTTTTCCTCTGCCCTCCACACCTCATTGGTAGAATATTTCCTTTTTGCCCTCCATTATTCCCTCCATTTCGTAATATCACAGCGCAGGCACCCTATTGATAGGCTTCACTTGGGGGCTGTGAGACAACAGCGATGCGAGAATAGCGAGTGCTGTACGAGTACTGTACGAGTACTCGTACGGTAAGGGTTATTGGTATGGTTACAGTATGCTCGAGCGGTAGACTATCATACCGGTACAGTACTCGGTAGTACGTACAAGTAGTTTCCACCATCTTGCCTCGTTCTCTCCCCTTAGAGCCTCATCTATGGCCAGCTTCTTCTCCCTTGATCCCGATCCCTTCTCCTAGATCCCCCCATTCCTTGCTGGTATTCCCTACGGTACTCGAGTACCGGTAGTATGATACCGGTAATCGCTTTCTTGCTGTCTTCCCTGTGGCCCGGTTCATGTTACAATAGAGCCCAAAGTATTCAAAGTTTGCTTTGTCCTTCCACCGACCGGGGGGGATATTTTGCATGTTTTACGGAATGATGGTGAACCGTAGGGGGAATTGATTATTATCCTTCATGATCACAATTTACCTCTTTCATAATCCAGCTTCTCTCTCTGCTCGAACGCCATCCGTGGTGAATCGCCGAGAAGTTCAAGTATGATAAACTACCGACACCGTCATCATGCTCAACCATGTTGCAATGGGTAAGACGGCAACTACAAGTACTGTACAGTACCAGTACCGGTGCGCGGGTAGTCCATCTGTAACTTGAGACGTGAGATGGAAATTTTCCACACTTTTAGATGGAGGGGTCCATGCACATTTTCCTGTGCCTCGCATGGCGCTGTTCTGTGGGAGAAGTGTAGAATGCGTCCACCACCAATCAGGGAAGACATACCAGCACGGATTGGAATATTTGAAAGTAGGGTGGTTCGGTTATAAACAGACAAAAGTTTCGTATCCAAGAGAGAGAGGAGAGGCTGAATTTGGGGAGAATAGGATAAGTGATGGAAAATACCCACTCTTATCCCTTCAACCCTGCAATAGATATAGTCGCGGCAGGCAGAGGACGAAGCTTTGCCAGCGCGATCGTATAATCTCGTGGATTGATAATCAATTTTTCTATGGTACAGTAGGTTACCTTCCCAAGCGGAGATCCCTCCAGTCTATGCAGAACAGTACGAGTAATTTACTCGTACAATGCGGCTACGGCACTTTGTGTTGGCGGCAGGCGGATGTTGGTGCCCGTGGCCCAACTACTCGTACTCGAGTATCCCCAGCGTCACAAGGCAATACGGAAACGGAAAAACACTTTCTCCAGCAGAGAGAGGGTGAAAGGTGGGGGAGGGGAAAGCAACCAGACATGGCCCCCCCCGAGAGTTCGCATTGGGAATTGCCCCCCCTCATTATTTCCACTCCTTCCCCACTACCGTACTCGTACTTGCACAACAAATCTCGCAATTCAAACCACCAGAACCACCAGAACCACCACCGCCACCAACCTTTAATACCATTACCGCAACCGACTGGTCCCGCAACACCTTGAACTCCATCGTCCCACATCTTACATCTCCGCCTCAAACTTACTCTAATCACCTACCCCACAACCCCCTCGGGCAATCACCTCGTCCTCCAGGGCCGGAGAAATAGACCCGACCTTCTCGTACCGGGTACGTCAATCCCGCCAATCCTACGTGGTTACCACGTGTGATCCGGAAGAAATTCGGTAGCAGGGAATACCACTTCTCTCGTCTTGACCTCTCTTGGCCCTGGGGTGGATCAATTGCTCTCATTCTGTCGGTCGGATTTTTGGCCTTCGGCGTTTCGATAATGGCAGCGGATAAGACCGAAGCACCGATGCTCGAGGCTCTTGTAGCAGCTAAGAGGGCCACTCCGATCCAACCTGGTAAACGATACGTGGGCCAAAAGACTGCAGTGGAGCTCAAGAAGACGCGGAAGGACATTAGCGGTCTTGAGGGTGGTGCAATACAGCGTGAGTCGATATCCACATTAAGCTTCCTATTTTGAAGATCCTTGGACCTTATTTTTGTCCCGTATCTCCTTAACCTCTTGCTTACCCTTTTCACATCGCACTAGTATCATCAGGGCCACGCCGGGCAGCTAGGGCGATAAACCAGATACCGTCAGAAATCCTGCACGACAAGGACCTGAACGAAGCCATCACCCTCCTTCCTGAAAACTACAATTTCGAGATCCACAAGACAATATGGAATATCCGGAAGCACAGCGCAACCCGTGTGGCCCTACAGATGCCGGAAGGCCTGTTGCTGTTCGCCTGCACCATCGCAGACATCGTAGAGACCTTCTGTTCTGGTGTTGAGACTGTCATCATGGGCGACGTTACATACGGCGCCTGCTGCATCGATGATTTCACAGCGAGAGCTTTGGGCTGCGACCTGCTTGTGCACTATGCCCATTCCTGCCTAATCCCCGTGGACGTAACGAAGATCAAAACGCTATACGTGTTTGTCACCATAGGAATTGATGAGAAGCATCTCACAGACACCTTGGCGCGGAATTTCAGCCCCGGGAAACACATAGCACTGGTGGGCACCATCCAATTCAACGCAGCGATACACGGAACGAAGGAGGGGTTGGAAAAAGCTGGTTTCAAAATCACTATTCCACAGATAGCCCCTCTATCAAAGGGTGAAGTTTTGGGGTGCACATCCCCGCGGATACCCTCCTCAGCTTCCCCAGGAGAAGAAGGAGGAGCAGACGCTTTGGTCTATGTTGGAGACGGCAGATTCCACCTCGAATCCGCCATGATACAGAACCCCAGACTTCCAGCATACAGATATGATCCCTACGGCCGCAAATTCACCCGAGAGACCTACAACCACCAAGAACTTCACACTCTCCGCCGGGACGCCATCTCCACCGCTAGACGGGCAAAGAAATTCGGACTTATCTTGGGGACCCTTGGCCGCCAGGGAAACCCAAACACACTATCGAGTCTAGAAAACAGACTAAAAGAGCTACAAACCCCGTACGTAATACTGTTGTTATCTGAAATATTTCCTGGTAAGTTGAAGCTTTTTGAGGACGTGGACGCTTGGGTTCAGGTGGCCTGTCCAAGGCTTAGCATCGACTGGGGATACGCGTTCCCAAAACCTTTGCTGAGCCCATACGAGGCCACTATCGTGCTTGGACTACGAGAGGAAGACTGGGATGAGGAACGGGGGTATCAGATGGACTTTTACAGCAAGGAGGGGCTTGGGAGGACGAAGAAGGGGGAGATCCTCCCCGGGCTGCCCTAGAGGGGGGGGGTCTCTTCTGGACGGAAACGCCGAGGGAGAGTGTTGTACTGTAATAATATTATTATCATGGCTCAAGCTTCAATAATATTCTACCACCATCCACCCCACTCACTGCTCTACTAACTGCCGCTATCTACTATCCTCATCCATGATATTATACGTGGGGGTATCCGTTCTATACCTAGCCCATAGCCCGGAAACGAAAGCCATCACTAAACCTCGTACCTCAATTCGTGGCACTGCACAGTACTGTACAGCACACTAAAATCCTAGAAACGCAAAATCCCGTCTCGGACAGCAAACACACATGCAAGCCATCCACCGCTCTCGCTCCCCCCCCCCCTCCCCTTTGAATCCCGGAGTCGAAGCATCACACCACGCTCCATCCCGCCCACCGAGAAACCAACTCAAAACAGTTCACGAATTCTCACTCGATATATTTGCAGGCATATCATAATATTATCATATCATAATATTATAATCCTATCTCATCTTTTTCCCACGTAAAGTATATATATAGTGTGGAATCTTTTTCCGTTTTTGTTGGAAGTATCGTGCCGCGCATTCCACGGCACTTCACCCCCCTTCACCCCGTCGATGTGCCCCACCTGCTTGCTGGTTGCAACTGTGCTCGAGCACTTCTGCTGTTAAGTGTATCCGTATTCCAGTGCGGGGGGGTTTTGACGCTGGGTTGGGTTGGGTTGGTTTGGGTGGCGGTTTTGCTCTGGGTGGCTGCTCTGGGAGGTGTATGTATGCGGGTGGTGTCCTGGGGAGTGTCGGGAGGGTATATCATCACATCGTGCTGGCTTAGCCTGCTCGAGTACAGGGAGAGAGGGGTCAGTTTGGCGCTTTGTGGTGCTCACAGGGTAGGTGGATGGCGAATTAGAGCACGTGTTTACTTCAATACACCAAACAGACGAACGAATAAAACTCAAGGGAAAAAAAGCAGCTAGTATACACCCAACGCCACTACCATTCACCACTATCCCATCCCATCCCATCCCATCCCCAATTCTACCCCCAGGCCGTAAAACTAAAATTAAAACTAAACAACAGTCCTCATGGTCTTCATCCCCACAAACCCCCTTCGATTTCTCCCCGTCCGTCCCCTCGCAAGCCAGATTATGCTTGAGCGTCTTGGCCAACTCCTCGATAGCCTCTTGAGCCTCATCCTCGGTTAGGACGCTGCTGAGCACCCTGATGCACTGAAGCATGCGGCTAGCGTTATGCGTGATGTCACTCTGTCAGACGGACAAGTCTAGTTGGAGTTTTGAAAACAATACTATATCACCCATTAGATGGTTACCCTTTCTTCTGCTCGCTCGAGGACGTACTG